TCCTGATTTACAGCATCCGCAGTTCTTTTGGTTTTTATTCCAAAAATATGAACCCATCCTTTTAGATGTCAACAAACATGGAGTACTTTCATCATCCTCACAAGTGGCTTTTAATGTTCAGAACATCAAATAGGCTCCTGCAGCTGTACAGGACACATCATATAAGTTAAAAAAAATTAAATCATTTGGACACAAGATTTTTGAGAGAGAAAAGAGATTAAAGATGTCGGCAGAGTAGCAGGGTTGTGTGTAGGCTCTTGCCTGGGGCTCATCCACTCATACATGCTTTCTATTATTTTCTTTCTTTTTACTTCTCTTTTTCTTTCATTTTTTTCTTTCATTTTTTGTTTTGTTGGAGCCTTTTGCAGCAGGTTAGTCAGTAAAATCAGCATGACAGCTACAGTAGGCTGTGCGTGGAATGGCAGACAAAGATGGTGGCAGAAACAGCTCCTCATGGCAAATGGATGCAGTAGCGCTGGCGGCAGTAGGGACATTGTCCCAGTGTTCTGGACTAGCAGCAGTGGCAAAGTTCCTCCAGTGATCACAGGCATGGCAGCACCGGCAAGGCAACAACTCAGTTGAGGGCAGTTGAAGCGAGACTCTTGGCGAGATGGTGGCCTGATCTGGCAGTGGAGCCAGGTTGCAGCAGGCTGAGAGTGGACATCCTGGCACTGGCAAGGCAGTGGCTGCAGCAGCAGCAGTGTGATGTGCCCGGAGATGGGACACCTGGCGTCATCAAGAAGGCAGCTGAGCCAGGGGACTTCTGGTTTGTGGGGTAAGTGTGGGTTCAGCATGGGATCAGTAGCAACACTGGTGAGGTGGGCCTAGCGGCAAAGAGATGGTACCCAAAGAGTGGTGACTGCCACGTTGGTGGGTCCAGTGCAGATGGTGGTGAGGCATGGGAGGGGTGGCAGCACAGGGATGTTTGGTGAGCTGGCTCAGGGCTCAGGACTCTCTTTCAGTTACATCTTTTATCCTTTTTATTCTTAAACGATTCAAAATGGCACCAAATTGTGGCACCTGTTGAAGCTTTTCACTGTATTTTACTGTATTATTCAATGTAAAATGCAAGTGACAATAGATCAATCATTCATCATTCAATTTCTGTGCTTGGGACATTTTATGAAATAGCTCATCTATACCTTTTGTAAAGTAAATGAGAAAGTGATGTTATACGACCCAATGAATCAAATGCGACTTTGAGAATTCCATTCTCCATAAGTACAGAGCCATCTCCCTGCAACAAGAATCAATAATGCATGAGAACGCAAACATAAATGTATACACAGCAAGTAAAGAAAAGGGCAAAGTACACCACAATAGCATGGGAGGCACCAGCACAATGTGTAAGTGGGATTAAGAGGCAAAGGAAAGGGAGGAATGTGAAAGCTTGAAAGTGCACGGGGGTAAGAATTAAGACAGCAAGAGAGAGAACAACAGCGTAAGACAGAGAATAAGACAAGCAAGAAATCGAGAAAAGAAAGAGGTGTGAATTTATATAGCATTTCTCATGAATTAGGATACTCCGATACAGTCAATGAAACACTGTGGTAGTCACTGTCTTAACAAAAGACACAGCCAATTTTTGCACAGCAAGCTCCCACATAGACAATATGATAACAAGTTGATAGTTTGCACTGTTCAGTGATGCTGAATGAAAGATAAATGTTGTCAGAATACTGGACACCTTCCTTGCTCTTCTTCAAAGTACCCTTAGTTTAGCATTTACATGACAAAATAAATTTTGAGCTTGTATCTTTAGTTTTCTGACTCCTGGTGTGAATACTGAGACATGGCTGATTGCTGAAGGCACACAGAGCAAAAACAATAGAGTGCATCAAGGCGAAAGAGTAAGAGGACAAAGAGATCAAGGAAATCAGTGCAGTATACTGCTTTATGTTATAATTACCTGAGAAGTGACAATAACTGGATGAGGTGGGACCAGGGGGTTGGTCACTGTGGCAAACCCTACACTGGGGACCTTTACCAGAGCTGCAAATGACAAAGAATGCAAACCTTAGTGAAAGTTTTATCAGAAGACATCCCTTCCATCCCTTCACATACCTAGGGTTTCACATTTTAGAGCACTGTATCCATTGTGATAAATTGGTTAAACATGAATGTCTACCAGCTATTGTCAGTGATGTTCTCACTCATTCTGTTCTCATTACTTCTCTGTCCCTATCTAGGCTAACAATCGGTTTACAGTTTACCTGTATGGTTAACTTCAGCTAAATCTGTAATTAAGAATCACTTTCTGTGATTCAAGATCCTGAACAGACATAATTATTGGAATAGTGGCAGTAACTGAAGAGGGTAAAATGAAGCATGCATTGACAATATTAGTTTATTAATATTTGGACAGACGCTAATATCAAAGAAGAAGGACTGACTGATCAGAGTTGGAAGTTAAAGGACAGCAATTCAACTGGAGTTTGCCATGTTGGGTAGCATCCATTGGGTTAACAGCAACTGCCAGGGTACAAAATAACTGGGCTATAGATAAATGTGAGGATGAAAACTTAAGCAAATGAAGTGAACTTTCAACCAATGGACTGGCTCCAAATTAAATGAATTTCATCAATCACATGCTGGGAAAAATTCAGGTCCAGCAGCATCTCTGGAGAGAAAAACAATGTTAACAGTTCAGGCCAATGATCTTTTATCAGAGGTGCAATGAATTCTACCTTTCTATTAGAACCCTAACATGGAAGGAATCTAGTGGAATTGGATTCAGTTACTCAAGGAAGGATATATTAATCTGGTAAAGTTGGAATGAATGAGGGAAGAGATTGGGACATTAGAAGCACGAAACAGGACAGCCAGCACACCTGCAAAGAATGGCGAAGATAAACTGGCTTGGTTAGGACCAAAGGTACACAAACTTAGGTATTTAGACACCGTGTAGCAATTGGAATGGTCAGATTGGACAAATATACTGCAAGCAACTTTCTAGGATTGGATGTCTCTGGATCAGACTCATATCCATCCAGCATGTCAGCTTCAAACTGAGCTACCGAAACTACTCTATGATGCAGCTGGCTAGTCAACACCTGAATGTCTGTGAATGGAAAGGATGAATAAGATTAGAATTTTTTTTGCAATTTCATACATAATATAATTGATATAATTATTTGACTTTGGAAGCCTAAGTTGGGGATCAGAGAAAATATATAACTTTCTTTAGTTAAGGAACAGGAGAATAAGAACTTCTGATCATCTGAGTGGCACAAAAATGGTCTTGGCACCCCTGGGCTAGGGAAAAGGAAATATAAATCAGTATACATCCACTCTCAATTGCTGTTCTGGAACATTCTCTGCCAAAAAGATGTGCAAGTGTTTCAAGATGTGCTGTGTGATGCTCCCCAAGATCAAATAGCTTGTTTGCGCTCAGTATCTAGGATGGCCATTTTGGCAAGATTCCAAAGACTTGTTGAACTATACCCTGTCAGGAATCTCAGAAGAGGAAAAACAGGTGCATAAATTACAGTCATGGCTGTTCTAAATGTGTTGCCATGATTCCACCAGAAAACAGAGGTTTTTATGATGGCATGATGTACTGGTGCCTTCACCTGCCTTAATATGGATCTTAATTCTAAATGTTGCTCACTCCATCGGAGAAAGTGGCCAGGCAAAGGCCAGGATTCCGCAATACTGTGACAGCATCACTCTAGGTGCTGATTTAACAGCAGCATTAACAGAGACGAGACAGGATCCTACCTTCCTGTCAACTAAAGAGTAATGAAATCTAACAGGGGAACTTCAAATACTAAAGAAAATGAAATACATTTAAAAATGAAAAAAAAAGTCATATTTCTGAGTAAGATACTGCAAAACACTTTTTATCTGACCACAATTTTTTTTGCAAAATAAACTTTGTTGTGAATAAATTCTCATCACAATACATTCCCCACAAATATCATCAAATACTGATGTAGAATATTTTTAATTTTTAAAAATCGGAAACTAAAAGCCTCAGTAAATGTGAGTGAAATTACCATTGACTGTCAAAAATGCTAGCTGATTCATTAATGCCCATGAAGGAAGGCAATCTGCTGTCATTACATAATCTTATCACGTGGTTGATTCTTAACTGCTTTCTCAACAGGCCAAGCAAGCCAGTAGGGCAATTGAGAATGACCAACAAATTCTGGTCTTGCCAGTGACACTCCAATTAAAGAATAAAGACAAATGTGCTCCCGCAGGGGAATGCTGCTACTGTCAGTTTCCCCGCTCGAATACAACGTTTTCAGCCTATTTAAGGATCAGTTTATGTTTGTTCTGGATTGCAATTGTGGTTGTGCAGCTGGGCAGGGATCCCAAATAAAGGCTCTATGTTTGAAAGATTTTCAGCCACCAAGTTTAATTCTATTACCCAGGACTTCGTCTCCTTCCAGTCGAGGCATTGAGATAACCTCAGTCCGTTCCCATGACAGGGTGTTGAGCACATTGATGTTCTTCCCAGTCTCCTGCACAGATCCTCCCAGGAGACACTGTATTGCCTCTTTCAGAAGTTCATTCCCATTGCTCTGGATTTCTGCAATTATAAAAGCAGAAATAAAATGGCAGATCAAAGAGAGTCCTCAATCAGAGAATGTGAGGCAAGCTCCACAAACCAAAAAAGGAAATTATTTTTATATTATGGAGAGGGAAGAAAAATCACTTTTAATGCTTCTAGTCAGGAGGTAATATCCCTTGACCCTGATATTCACAGCCTTACACTTCTCAACAAAAACCATCAAGAAGGGAATCTCAAGTTCAGTAACAGCTCTGAAATAGTTCAGTCTAATTCTAAGTAACTAGGTCAGCGATCAATGAACCATCACATGGAGAGGTCAAAAATAGCAACCGATTAAAACTATCTCAACTCTTTCGCTCTCCACAGATGCTGCCAGACCTGCTGAGTTTCTCCAGCATTTTCTGATTTTACTTCAGATCTCCAGAAATGCAGTATTTTGTTTTGGTAAAACTGTCTCAATACGTCCTCGTTCAGGTTGCTGTCCAATTTTATCTGATTATGGTCCTATGAAGGAACTTGGACACTTATCTCCTGTGTAAACGCAAATTTTTCTTGTTGCATATTCCAAATGTGCACTAATACACCCATTTCCACTTCTTTGGTATTTCTCAGCCTACTACTTTTGTGTTGACTAATTTCTTATCTGATATTTGTAATCTGTGATATTTGCCTGTTAAGTAAAGGAAGATCAAAGGTACTGTCTGCAACCCCAGCTGAAAAATCCACCCTTGATACTAATTCCGTCCCTGCTTGGACATTGTCTCAGGTTGAACCAGGTTTTTGACTGCTGCAGTGTACGTACACCCACAACGCTGCAAAAGAAGGACCTCTAGAATTTTGACCCAACAATAGTTAAGGAACAGCAATACAGTTCCAAATCAAGATAGTGTGTAATATTGTCTGTTTCAGTGGGTGGGGGGGCACACACTCAAGTTTCAGTCACTGAAAACAGTTGTTACACTTTGTCAGTCAGCTTTTTAAGCAAAACACTTTATATATTACATGCAAGTTAAACAAATGGAAAAGATTTTGAATGAGTTGGCAGAAAGCAGAATCTGATAGTTTAGACGGATCAGATTTGCTTTTTGTACGACTTGAATATTGCTGACGTTTTTCAATTTGCACTCATTAGGACAAATGCAAGAATGCTAAATTTCAAACAACTGCAATGACGTTAACTAATGGAGAGAAGGCTGCTGATTGGTTGACTCTGATTGGTTCAGGCATTGCAGTGGAGAAAGCAACAGGGATCTACAGTTTCCCAAATCTCCTTAGTAATTCAAAAATGTACAAGATTTGAGCATGTTCTTTTTGTTTATACAGAACAGGTCTTGCGTATGAAGGTATATTCCTTCTAGCAAGAGTAAATGAGTCACATTAAAAGCTTGACAAATGTGATTCTGCAATTGGGCAGCACTTGCTGACTAATCCCTAGTGAAATAATAGCTACACTTAATCTATTTAAGACAGTTAGTTGAGCACAATATGGTCTTGATGATAAAATCTCAAGATATCAAGTGCTCATGGTTTGAAGCATCAATGTATTTCGAAACCAGGATTAGAAGCAAATAGAGGAAGTAGTGCCAGATCACCATTTTCAGTGCAACTCAAATGTTACTCACAACAATAAACCCTATAATAAAGTCCTTCTCAAAATATACCTGATTAAAATATACCTGTATTATATGAGCCTTACTTCCTCTACAATCTAGGAAATTACAGCAATTTTAAAGTGATAAAATTACATTTTTATACATAGATTTACATAAAAGTAACTGTATAATTACCCAGAATAAAAAAGCTAATTATCTACAATTTTGTAAGGAATCACACAAAGAAATAAGAAACTTTACTCTAATTGCTTGCTAAGTAAACATATTTGCAGATTCAGGTGACTGGGCAATATATGCAATAAAGACAGATGCCTTACCTTCATAGAACTTTATTGCGTCTTCCACTACAGACTGTATACATGTACCAGGCAGCACATCATGGAACTGATTGAGGAGCAACAGTCTGTGAAATATGACAATTACATTCAATTACAAACAAATTGCTCATCTATGCTGACGTTGGTGCTTGATATGGACCTCCTCCCAACCCTTTGCAACTATTCCTATTCAGTATAAACTTTTCATTTTTTTTCTCCTCATGTATTTTTATCCAGATTCCCCTTGAATACATCTGTGCTATTCATCCCAAACACTCCTTGTAGCAGAAAGTTAAGAGGTTTCTCATAAATTCCCTGTTAGTTTTATTAGTGACTGCATTGATGGCAGTCAGTTTAGATCTTCCCAACAAGTGGAAACATATTCCCTCTGAGCTTCCCCCCTCAGACTTTGCTTTACTGGGGTGGGGAATATTACCCCAGCATGTACAAACCTTCCTGTACACTAAACCTTCCCAGTTCTGGTCTCATCCTTGTAAAAGCTGCAACAATCTTATTTCCACTCTGATTTCATTTGCAGCAACCGACTTAGTGCAGCATTGCTGAGTGTCTCAATTTGCAGAATATTTTGTAAACTGCTCACAACTCCCAGGAAAGTTAAATACGCTGAAAAACAGTGTATTTCATGAACCTCAAGCATCAACCAGAACTTTATTCATGTCTGCAATGTGTGCTGTAACTTCAACTGCGCAAAGAGCAAATGGCTATCCTAACGTCAATAATTTGAAAACCTTCAGTTATTCAGTAATACCTATGTAATACAACTGCGAAGGACCATCGATTAACTCTTGAAATTTACTCAAACTAGAGCTTGGAGGTATCCTCCATCTGAATTTCTGCAGCACTCTCTGTGCATAGGAACTACCTGCCATTCTGAGAAGGTCCATCCTGCCAGTGGGATAGATCTCTGATTTGGACCATGAACCTGTATAAGATGATTCCTAGCTTTGATGCAGCCAGTGAAGGGAGTATCAAGCAGAAGGTAAGAACTTCAGGGGTGAGGTGGCGAGGTGGATCAAAAAGGGTCAAAACTCCCTTTCACAATCCCTAGCCATTTAATTCCACAGGATGCATGATACCAAAGTTTGAAAGAGCTCAGTTCCTGAGCTTCATAACTTTAATTCTTCGTGGCATGGGGAAATCTAGATGCAGAAGGAACTAACAACACAACAAATTAAATCTCATCAAATAGATACTACCTCCAGAGATGCTGCAGTTGACAACTTGGATATTCAAAGGTGTCCTTCTGTACAGATGCCAGACTGCTCACAACTTCAACACTGCGAAGGATACATTCGCATTTACGATTGCTTTTCTTAATCTATAGAGAAATATTTTTTAAAAATTTACATTTGTGAAGTAGAGCTCCTGACAGTACAAGCTGTCAAAAGAACCAGTTTAATAAGGTTTGTCTTTCTACCACTAATTTTGTCTTTAAGAGAAAGCTGGATAAGTAAGTGAGGGAGAAAGAAATTTAAGTTCACACAGATGGAAGCAAATGATGTAGATCCGTACATAGCTGATCTAGAGCATAAGTATGAGTAGAAAGTAGATGTCATATTTCTGTATTGTAAAGTCTATACACTTCAGCCCACAATTCGTCCTCTATCCCGGAGTTCAAATTCTTAATATTCATGGAGAAAAGTGATGACTGTGATGTTGATGCTTGGGGAAGCAAAGTGGAAAATTTCAACTTCCAAAACTGTGTGTATTTCATTCTGTTGAGGTGTTTAAAAACTTAAAAAAATGTGAAACACAACCAAAACCCACCTTTTCCACACCCAGTTTCAGTTCAAACAAAGAGAGGGAGAGAAGGTGGGAAACCAAACCACTCCCAGGTCCCTCACTGAATTAGTTACTTCAGTTATGTTGATAGATCGGAAATGTTGGAGTTGATGCTGTTGAAAAGAAGTTTGAACAGAAACTTGATAGAGATGCTCAAATCGTGAGGGATGTATACAGCAAGGAAACAAAACTGCTCCCAGTGAGGAAAGGATTGAGAACAAAAGAGCAAAGATTTAAGGAAATTGGCAATAGAAGCAATGGTGACATGATGGAGAACCTTTTCAATTAACGAGTACTTAGGATTCAGAATGCACTGTCTGAGAGTGTGATGGGGAGAGATTCAATAGGGAATTTGATTATTATCTAAAAAGGAAGAAGGCTATTTGAGAGAGCAGTTAAAGCTACACTGCTGTCACACGTACACGAGGCCAGATAAGGATAGCTGATTTCCTTCCCAAAAGGACATTAGTGAACCAAATGGATTATTTTTACAACAATTGACAGTTAGCTTTTAGTTTCAAATTTTTTTTATCATTGTTATTCAGCTGCTGTGATGAGATTTGAATGCATATCCACAAGGCACTCGCCTGGGTTTCTGGATTACTAGTCCAGTGACATTACAGGTACGCAACCGTCTTTCCCTGTTGAAAAATGGAATAACCTGACCACAACGTCAATGTGATAACATTCCTAAATGGATACAAGTGCCAACGTTTTTGTCATTCTGCTATAGAGACCATGGCCAATTTTGTTGCTTTGGACCAATGGAGATCTGAACCACTTAAAGATTACAAAGAAGTCCAACATAACTACGTTTAAAACACCACAGCATTTTGCACCATCTCATTTAAGTCCATCCACATCCTGCCATTATCAGGGTACAAATTGTAGAAACTCCATTCCATCCAGTTTACCAAACAATTCTACACTTCAATTACAAATAAAATTTCAGTCTCTGGAAGTACTGTTCAGGGTGAATCAGAAGTTATTCTGTTGCAATAGGATGAACCTGGGTTGTATGGTATAGTAATGAGTGATAGGTGCACATCAACCCTGAAAGAAGTCAATAAGAGGTCTCATCGTAGCCAATAATATGCTGTTCGATTAGTAATTGGGAAAAAATAGTTTTCCTCAGCCACTGAAAATAAATGAATTTCATAAACTAAGTCTCTGTACTTAAAATGGGGAACTTTACTGAATCAGTCAAGCACACGCTGACCCTACACCACACCAAGCACCCACATGCACTGCACTTGCACTCACTCAGACTCTTCAGTCCTCATTTCTTCTGGGTTGTTCTTTTTTGGATTTCTAGTCCTGTCCTCCAGTCTTGGATGAATTACTATTGGCTTTATCATCTATCCAATTATAATGTTTTTTCCCCCAGTTAACTTTTATGCCAATGTTAAAAGTTAAAGATTAGGACAATTTATACCTCAATTTTCTTCTTTATCAAAAGCCTCTACAACAGTAATGTGGTTACCTAAAAATCCTTCTCTTTAAGTACACATTTAATTCAGAAGTCAAAAAGCTCCTTTCAAACATGATTAATATTACAGTCCTTCCAAATTTTGTTCATGTCGTTTATATGAAGTGTATGAAACATTGCTGATTACTGTATTCACAAGACAAAACATACAAGAGGGATAAAGTTGGTGTAACCATGTCAAATGTTTTACAAGGTAGTAGTATTTGGAGTTTTTTAAAAGGGAAGTGAGTTTAGGTTTTAAAAGAATTTGGAGAAAAGGCAGTGAAATGAAAGTCAGCGGAGAGCTTTAGCTTCCTCTTTTGCTGTAAAGTTGCATAACTCTTAGTCATTCTCACCCTTGTCCTTCCTCATTTACCACCATCTCTTTATTTGACATGTTGAATGCAGTTCCAGGAAGTCAGCCAGTATTATAATGTTTAATGTATGTTTTCAGTTACTTCAAAAGTTGAAAAGCTTGTCTATACTGTTTACTTCAATATCACCTAAAACAAAACTGTTTCTCATAAATGATTCACACAAAGGTTTTGTCTGCAGAAGCTCCCACTAGGAAGGGTTTCTAAGCATCAAGTTGCTCTGTGGCTTTCTGTTAATATGAAAGAAAACTCTGCAATTTGAAGAAGAGCAGATGGAAGAGTCTGAGTGGGTGCAAGTGCAGTGCATGTGTGTGCTTGGTGTTGCGGGGAGCAGAATTGCATGGTATGGTGGGGTAGGGGCAGATGGTGCAGATGTGCGTGACTGTGTGCTCATGGGGGTGCATGCATACTCATGGAGGTGCACGCATATGGGTACTTGTATATACGAATGTGTGTTTCTGCATGTGTGTGGAGGTGGGAGCACTTTCTCCAATAGGAAACCAACCTCGACTTAACACACACACACACATACACTACTTCCAGTTTAACTAGCATTAAGATTGGAGAAAAGACCCTCCACAATCAGCAATTAAGTGTCTTCTTGAGGACCAGGAAGAGCAGGATTTCTTTCCACTAGTCTTCAAGGCAAACTATCACATTCACATTAATTTCCAGAACCCCCTGCTGATGTCCTCCACTTCCTTCCCTCCCTCCTCAAACACCCAAAAATATCTTCTGTACCCATTCCAAAATCCTCTCCTCTCTGGCCTCGTACAGCAGGTTTTCTCTCAGTGTGGTTGTCTGCCACATGAAAAACAGTGAAAAAAGGTAAACATGGTCCTACCGTTAAATCAGGACTCCACATTCACTTTGCATGTCCACCAATACTGTGATTATAGTTTCAATGTGACTGACTGTCTCTTCAGGACAGAGTAATAGTACTGGGAACACGAGTGAGCTCCAGACTAAGGTTTCTCCTAAACTTGAAGATTTTCAGTGAAATAGGGTTACAGGAAATGTTACCCAGTCTTACAATTTTCTTGTAAATTTTCTAATTTTTTTATAAACCTATATCTAGCTAATTATATTGTTTGTTAGGAAAACTAAAACGGCAGCTGAAAAGATTTTCAAAAGTAACTTTCTTATTAATCTATTGTTGACTGCACTTTTGGTTTTAAATTAGTGTTTTTCTCAAAATTTACAATTAGCAGCTTGCAATTCTGCTTGCTAAATATTCACAACCATAACTGTAACACCGCAGGTTTGTAAACAAGAAATGAGACAATTGGGTGCAAGTATAAAACATATATTGTCTGTCAAATCTAACACCCAGTTGTAGCATGAGAAACAGGACAGACAAGATATGGCCTGGACACACTGTTTTGAAGCATTTCTAGCAGATTTTCTCGTGATATTGCTCAATGAATCAGATATTATAAGCGCTGGAACACAGAGTAGTGTTATCAAGGACATCAGCACTGGGAATGGCACTGGATCCAGCGATCACTTGAATTCTGGTCATACTGGGATGAGGTCTCTGGGCAAACAGTATTTTATGGAGAAGAGAAAAGATGTGTGATTGACAGAGATTGCAAGATTTTGGTGGGGTATACTGGTTGTGTATGGATCATGGAACATGCTTAGAATGCAATCTACAGGTTTCTGGACAACACAGGGGCACTCAAGATCTGGGAGTATTGAGACAATTGGGCAGATTGGTCAGTATTGAGATTCAGCAAGAAGTGAGGATATAACACAGGGACCTGTCCTTTACAAACAAAAGGAATATTCAAGCCTTGCATTTTTTTTAATTACCTAGAAGCAGAGGAAGCCCTATAGTTTTCCATTGCTTTCTCTAGCCTCAGCCAATCAAGTCAACTTGCCAAACAATCAGCACCTTTTCCTCCTGTGGCATAACTTGTAATGGTTTGAAATTTGACATTGTGGTGTTCCTCCTTAGGAGTACAAAACAAAAGCTTCAGCAACATTGAGAGCTGCTGTGATCTAACAGCTATGGAGGGCGCAGGCTGTGAAAGGGGAAAGTCCAAGGAGTCAGAGGCTCATATCAAATCATCAGGCCTCAGCTTCCTACTATGCCAATGTTGTGAGCCTCCTCCAGCCCAACCAGTGCCACTTCTTCAACCCCAGATGTCCCTTTATCATTTGCAACATCACAATCTGATTCCCCTGTCTATTTTTCTGGTTTAATGCATGCTTTCTGCTTCTTAATAGATGCATGCTTGCAGGACAGCGATATAGGTTCCACAAGTTCATGACCGACAGACAGCGGAGCAATATGTAGCACATGGTTGAGATTACTAACTTTATCAGTCTTTTATAGACTACATTTCAAGAAACTACTTTGCCAAATAATGATGTCATTTTTCAAGTTTGTATACATGTAATAAATCATTGAGCAGAATCTTCTGCTTTTTGTTAGAAGTATGGTGCTGGGTGTAAAAATGACTGGGAGTCACCAAAGTGAATGGGAAAGCCCACAAGATCATGTGCCTATCAGGCCCCGAACTGGGTGTTAATTGTCCAAATAAGGGGTCTCATTTGCTGGCAGGGTGGGGTGGCCTTTGCTCCTAGAACTTAATTCCTCTGGTGGTGGGAATGCAGCTGAAATCTCCCAACCAACCCACCTGTTGTCTTCCTTTCCCCCATCACTTACCCTGCCACTTCTCAGAAAACAACAGAGACTTTGATTTGAAATTTCAACAGCAGCAGCAGCAAACCCCAATCCAAACTTGTAACCAAATAGCATATTTTCCCCTAACTATTAAAAGTACTACAAATAGAGAGATCAAGGCTGTTTGTTTCTGATATGATCACAACAGAGGCCACTGTTGTTAGTGTATTATACATTTGCCATTCCCTGCTTGATATCTCAACGTTTTGATTTCATATTCCAGTTTCTATCAAAACCTTCTGGGAAACAAAGCATTAAAGATAAAACTCAAATCCTTATAGAATGAGAGGACATAAGTTTCTACATTTCTGGTGTGTTGTGAAGCGTGCATTTTATGCAGGGATGTGACTGAAAGTTCGTTCTTAACTGCTGTGCAAAAACAAAACAGCTGGAAACCAGGCCTTTCAAAGAGGCTGAGGTCTTAAAAGCAAAAACCTTAAAAGGAGATTAAAAGCCATAGGCAATGCATGGGTTAACTGTATCAAACAGATATTTTAAATTTTAATTCTATTTTGGATCTAATTTGGGACATAATATATTTCAGCAACTAAGAAAATTGTGAAAAAGCAAGCTAATTGATGAACTAGCTCATCAACAATCCTTGGCAACTGTTTGCACAGAAAAATTCAATAAAAATTGATTACAAAGATTAAACATTAATATAACACACTCAAAAAACTATGGAAACCAGAAGTAATATGGGTACATTGGGAGTGCATACATACACAAGCTTTTTATTTGTGTGCTTGTTTGTATATATTATCTGCTACAGGAAGATAGACTTTAAACCATATAATTAGTTTAACATGTCAATAAATCATAGTAGCCTGTGGCAAACTGAAAATTGATTGCAAATGAGGTCATAAAAAGGGAAGATTTTGTAGGATGTCAGTGTCACTGGCAAGGCTCATGCCTAACTGCCATTGAGAAGACGACGGGGAACCAACGTTTTGCACCTCCGCTGTGCATGTGGTATAGCTACATTCAGAGTGATGTTAGCCAGGAAATTCCAGGATCTTAATTTGGCAACAGTGCTCCAGTGCCTGGGTCAATGCTGGGTGGTTTATTTGGTTCAATTTCTTTTTTGACTTTTCTACAGCAGCTTGCTAGGCATTTCAGTGGTTTGTCATGGGTCATAAGAGTCTGAAGCCCACGTAGGCAAAAGTTGTTCCCTAAAGGGTATACTGAATGAGATGAATTTTCATAACAAATCAGTGATATGATGGTTAATGTTACCGAGACTGGCATATTATCTTTCTCATTTAATTGAAGTTAACTTCCATAAGATGCTGTGATGGGTTTTGAAACAATATTCCCAGACCATTAGCCTGGGACTCTGAATTAGTAGACCAGTCCCCACAATACTTAAAAACTAAGAATAATAAAGATTCCTACCTTTGCCTGTGAAGTATAGGAGCCATTGTGTAGTTCCAAAAACAGTTCACCAACCCAGGTACAAAGCATTGTGGTATCAGCTTCCAGAATTGAGAAGAAGGTTTCTGGGCTGGATTGTTTCACCCTGAGACACAGAGTATGTATTTATAGTTGTTAGCTGCAACTTATGTATATTTATATATACAAATACCTTCACACAGCATACCTTAGCACAAGCACAATTAATTTTAAAATATGAGTAAAGGAGACAAAACGTTTCATCAGGAATTCTTCTGACTTTAGTTCCCTGGATGAACAATTTACTGACCTCCTTTCGGCCTCAGCTATAACAAGTTGAATTTTCATGACAGTACTCTGGCTGATTAATTTGAAACAGGAGAAGTCTAGTTAGCAGCTTTTGTGTTATGCAAAATATTTAGAGCACTGAACAGGCTATTCAGCCCAATGAGTCCATGCCTAATTTCAGACTCCATGCAAGTCTCCCCCTCCCCCTTTTCAACAAAATCTATCAAAATATCTTTCTATTCCTTTCTCTGTTAATGGTTATCAAACTCCTTCTTAAACACTTCTATAATATTTACCTCAATTACTCTCTGTGATCTTGAGTTCCAAACTCTGACCACTCTCTGATTTTTTTCCTGAATTCCCTATTGTAATTATTTTGACAACTTCACATTTATGGCTTACCATCTCATCCTAAAGGTAGCATCGCACTCTGACAATGGAGAACTCCCATGGTACTACACTGGAGTGTCAGCTTTGATTTTAATTTTTGTGCTTAAGTCCTGGACTAGGACTTGACACTTTAACTTTCTGATTCAAGCAGCATGAGAGACATGCACTAAGCCATGGCTAACAGTGATAATAAATCTGGAAACAACACTGGTGTAATTCTTCATCTTATTAATAGAAATAGTGGTTATGGAAGTGGAAACAACAATTTCAAAAGGAAATTGAACAGGCATTGGAAAGACAAACTTGCAGGTGTACAGATCTCTCAAATTTGAGTTTTTTGAGGAACTGACAAAGATGACTGAGAGTAGGGCAGTTGTCTACATGGACTTTACTAAAGTATTTGACAAGGTCCCTCATGGTATACTGGTCCAGAAGATTAAGTCACATGGGATCCACACTGAGTTGGTAAAATGGATACAAAATTGGCTTAGTCATAGAAGATAGAGGGCAATTGTGGAGGAGTGTTGACTGGAGGTCTGGGACCAGTAGTGTTCTGCAAGGATTACTGCTGGAACATCTATTTGTAATATATATGAATGACTTGGATAAAAATGTAGGTAATCTATTAGTACATTTGCAGGTGACTCATAAATTGGTGGAGATGTGGATAGTGTGGAAGGTTGTCAAAGAATACTGCAGGATATAGATCAGTTGGCAAGTTGTGCATAGAAATGGCAGATGGAACTTAATCCAGACAAGTGTGAGGTGATGCATTTTTGGGAGGTGAATGCAAGAGATAAGTGTACAGAAAATGACAGGACCCTAAGAAGCATTGATATAAAGAGGAATCTTGGGGTGCAAATCCTTAACTCCCTGAAAGTTCAACACAAATGAATAAGGTGGTAAAGAAATTTTACAGCACACTTGACTTCATTGGTTGGAATATTGAGTATAAAAGTTGGCAAGTCATGTTGCAGCTGTATAAAACTTCAGTTAGGCCACACTTAGAGTATTGTGTGCAGTTTTGGTCACCACTCTATAGGAAGGATGTGGAAGCTTGAAAGGGTGCAAAAGACATGTACCAGGATGTTGCCTGGATTGGAGTGCATTAGCTATAAGGAGAGGTTGGATAAAGTTGGATTGTTTTTGCTAAATTGTCAGAGGCTGAGGGGTGACCTAATGGAAGTATATAAAATTATAAGAATCGTAGATAAGGTGGATAGTTGGAGTCCTTTTCCTACGGTGAAAATATTAAATACTAGGGGATATAGGCTTAAGGCAAGGGGAGAAAGTTTAAAGGAGATGGGCAAGGCAAGTCTGTTTTTTCCTATATACGGTGGCAGGTGCCTCAAACGCGCTGCCAAGAGACGGGTAGAAGCAGGTACAATAGCAAAGTTTAAGAGGCATTTAGACAGACACATGAATGGGCAGGGAATAGAGGGATACGGACTATGTGCAGGCAGATGGGATTATTTAGAATGGTATCATGGTCAGCGCTGACGTGGTGATCTGAACAGCCTGTTCCTGTGCTGTACAGTTCTATGAAGGAGGCTTGGTGAGTTTCTGAGGACATCTTGTAAACTTCTTGTACAGACAATGCAAACTGAATGGCTTCCGAGTATGATGTTATTTTGTGATACAGGAATAAAGCAAGAAAGGAAAATGCACTTAAAGGAGCTTGCATAGATTTATTGGGACCAATAGCCACTTCCTGTGCCATAAATTACTCTGACTGTCTAACTAGTCCAGAACCACTTGTAGTGACCGTGATGAGATCAGCCATGTGGACCTCATAGAATATGAGTTTCCTTATTAGGGCTGTTAACCTGGTCCAATCAGGGAGCCCACACTGACAGATAAGAACAAGAGTGTAAGACATCCTGTTCCCTCTGATAGTTGATTCTGAGGAAGCTGGATCAGTGTCAAGGACTCTCTACACGTAAATAAAGAGTGACTTGGTGATAGGATACTGCCCTCTGTAGATTTTTTTCACCACTCTGCTGGCATTTTGCCCTCTGGAGGTCTTCTTAGATGACTTTATAGGTGTTTAAAATTGTGTATAACTTTCAGATTAGGATTCAGACACTTTTTTTATGAACGATTAGGAAAGGACAATAAATATTGGCCTAGCCAGCAATGTTCACATCTCATGAGCAGATTTTTTGTTGGAAAAAAGGCAGCATTTCACTGACAGGACATAAGGAAATCAGCCCTTTCTTGTATTCTGAGGATTTTCCATTACTTGGGGTGATCTGCAAGATGTGGAAATAATCAAGCAATATTTACCACGTTGCCATTGAAATAAAAGGAGATCAAGAGTCTAACAATGATCTGTGCTATGGACACATTTGAAATGTGCAGTGCACCTAATATACAAGACCAAGACCCTCATCCCTTGTTGTTTAAAGGTACTGTTTGGACACGGTTGAGATGGTCAGTTGTTAAGATTAAATCATGCTCTCTCGGTTTAAGATTTTGCTCAGGTACTCCGTGGAGAACATCCTGGTGTCAGAAGCCTAATGCAGCCAACTATTGCTCTATATTGGGAGCAGCTCATGAATTCTGGAAACTATCTCCGGAACAGTAATCAAGATCAAAGAAGTTACTCACTTTCTTCCTAATTTTTAACACATTTGACACATCCTGAGTGTGTCATTTCAGTGAAACCTCATACTTCAGCCTTCAGTTTAACCCAAAATGTATGAATCCAGTGCACCATATGGCTTCTTTTCCCATATCCAACATTCCTGGAGGGCAACTCTGTTTCCAAAGCGTTCCATCTCTTCTCTATTTCCAATCCTCACGTGTCTGCTACCATCTTCACGTTAGAGGTCAACAGTAAATCTATGTCCACATCTCAAACACTATTGCCTAGATTTGTAGCACAATGGTTTCTCTGCTACCCTCTTCCTTAGTACCACTGCTAACAGCAGAAGCTCAACAGGCCAAAGGTTACACACACGCACAGCAGTTTGGGTCTCCAACACACTACACTACAAGCAATTATGACTGTTTTGAATACACAGTTCCATGCAGAATTTTGAAAATTATTTCATATGTACAATACAGATTTTACACACAATTTTACATAACGACAGCAATATAAAGAGGCACCTGAATAATGCATTTTTCAGATCAGACCAAACTGAGAAGTTGGTTTAAAAATGTACATGGCTTTTAAACAGTGTTCGATTCCTGACCTGGGAAGCCCATCTGTGTTCTCAACTCTCTGTAGTCGATCCAACATGTCCTGTGTGGGTCCACCGCCCCCATCTCCAAACCCAAATAGTATGGCACTGTCATTGACACGACCTTTGTCCTTATTATTTTTAACTGTATTCAGCAGCTGCAGTAGAGGGAAGAAAAGTTTCTTCAGAATGGTTAAATCCTCCAGGACAAGACTTCAAACCAAAACAACACTGGTTTTCAAAACTCAAAAATACAGCAGCGTCGTGACCACCAGCAACAGGCATTCAAATAGTGACTGCAAAGCATGTCATGGGAACGAAATGAGACAAAACTTGACATCAAGCCAAACATTACAACAGGTGGAAAACCATTTGGTTAAAAGAGGTGAGTCTTAAAGAGTATTTTCTTTTCTTCTTTCATATGACGGAGGCATTGCTGGAAAGACCAGTACCTGTTGCCTATTGTTAGTTGCCCTGGAACTAATTAGCTTACAAACTATTTCAGAGGATTGTTAAGTGTTAACCACATTGCTGTGGATATGGACTCGTGTAGACTATACTGAGTAAGAATGGCAGATTTCCTTCCCATAAGGATATTAGTGAGCCACATCGATTTTTATGACAATCAATGATAGTTTCACGGTCACTACCACTTAAGGCTAGCATTCAATTCCAGAATCTATTGATTAAATTTGAATTCCACCAGCCCCATAGTGACATTCCCACTGTCTCCACAAAAGGAGAAGAAAGATGTAGAGGCAGCTTCAGAGAAAATTCCAGAGCTTAGAAATTATATGGCTGAAGATGCAGCTGAACAAAACTCTGGCCAGAGTTGGAAGAACACAGACCTAACATTGTAAACGACTGTCCCTTCCATGACCTCTCTGTTTCCATTTCTGGGATAGGCTGGCCAGCATTATCCACTACAAAACTACTGACTCCCATAGTTAGCTCAACTATACATCCTCACATCTTTCCCCCTGTAAGGACTCCATCCCATTCTTCCAGTTTTTCCATCTCCATCACATCTGTTCTGATGACACCACCTTCCACGAGGGGGCCTCAGAAATGTACACCTTTCTCCTCAACCAAGGATCTCCCACTATTGTGGTCAATAGGGCCCTTAGCTGTGTCCAACCCTTCCCCTGCACCTCTGTCCTCACCCCTTCTCTCCCACAACAATCATTGGATCTTTCTCGTTGTCACCTACCACCCCACCAGTCTCCGCATCCAAAGGATTGTAAGTTGCCATTTCAGTCACATCCAACTAGATGCCACAACCAGACACACAATTCCCTTCCCTTTCCCTCCCTTATCAGCATTCCACAGGGATTAAACCCCTTGGGACACCCTGGTCCACACCTCCTCACACTCCCACGGCACCTTCCCATGCGATCGCTGAAGGTGTAATACCTGCCCATTTACCTCCATTGCAACACACCACTGTGTTCCCACACCAACATATCTGTTGCAGGCCTGCTGCAGTGTTCTCGTGAGCATCTCATTTTCTGCTTGAAGACCCTGCAGCCTCTAGGACTCATTTAATTCAATAACTTTACAGCCTGATTCCATCCTTCCATGTTATTAGCCAGCCCATTCCCGGCCGTGTTATTACATGGGCTGCTTTTAGCACAGTCACCAATACCATGTCCCCGTCCCAATTTTTAAAACTACAGTGGTATAGTGGTACTATCATTGGACTTGTACTCCAGAGATCCAGGCTAATGTTCTAAGGACATGGGTTCAAATCCCATCATTGCAACTGGGGAATTTGAATTCAATTACTAAGATATGAAATCAAAAGGCAGCACCAGTGCTGGTGACCATAACACTATCATTGATTTGTTGTTGAAAAGCACATCCAGTTCATTAATGTCCTTTCAGGAGGGAAATTTGCCTTCCTTTTCATGGTCTGGCCTACACATGACTGCTAACTGCCATCTGCCATGGCCTAGAAAGATCAAAGGCAATTTAAGATGAGCAATAAATACTGACCTTATCAGCGATGCCCACACTCCATTCAAAGAATGAAGAAACATGTCAAGACATTAAATACTTGTCACTAAAATTCTTTAAATTCCAATTTTAGAAAAAAATGACATCAAAGTTCCTTGGCTGTCAAGTCGTGGCAATGTAATTTGAATAGGAATTATTATTTGCTAGACATAACCATTCTGAAAGGCAAATTAAGCAAAATTTTGTATGATCTCACTGCACGTGTTTATTAAAAATTCAGTGTCCTTAAAATGACCTCAATAAATCCCTCTATATGAATCATGAAACAACTGGTTATGCAAAACAATGACACTGAAAGCATTCAAATTTAGTTCCTTCTTTGAAAACTGAATGGTTTTGAGATAGATAGCAATGTAACAGGTTGCTTCAGCTAAACCTTTCCTAATTGATATAGCCTTTGACAAATTTCATAACCATCTCTATAGAACAACAAGACGTCTTGGCATCCGGACTGACCCACAACCTCTTAAGGGGAAAACCAAATCCTCAGGTGTCTTTATTTTGACTGGCTATAAGCTAGTCTACAACATTCAATATTGTTACAACTATGGGTGGTAACATTTAAGGTTATTTAATTTGGAAATATTTACTTTCCCAAAACATTAGACAAAAATTTCCTTAAACAATTGTTTGGTTGGTCAAACGTCTAACTTATACTTTTAAACCGACTTCTGGTTTTAGCTATAATACAAAGGAAACCTTCCCAATAGGTTTCCATGTGAAGAGTTGCTTCCTTTTTGAACCTTAAGGGAAGCTTTAAGGTCTTTAATTTTAATTGCAAGTTTTTAAATTGGTTCCCTTCTGCTAGTCAATGGGCTTAAATTGCACGTATTCTTCCAGGTTTATAGAATTGTCAAGTTAAAAAGTGTGTTCTGAGGAAGGGTCACTGGACCCGAAACGTTAACTCTGTTTTTTCCTTCACAGATGCTGCCAGACCTGCTGAGCTTTTCCAGCAACTTTGTTTTTGTTCCTGATTGACAGCATCCACAGTTCTTGCGGTTTTTAAAAAGTCTGTTCTTGTTTTTGTCTTGATTTTCCTACAAATGTTTGAAAGAGCCTGTCTTCCTAGAGATAATTGAACGTCAAAACAAACTATTATAGCTGAGTTAGACAACATATTGCTTGCTTGCAGGGGGTTGAATTTTCCTACAAGACTCCACAATGGAGAACAAAAGTAGCACAATCATGTCATTATGTTCCAAGATGCTTGCACAGAAAGCTGCAGTATTTGAGCATCAGCAGCGTCTCTCTCTATGTCTTTCTCTTAAGATTGAAGTTTGCCTCATACTTACATCCTCTACCTGACATTTCATTGCATAGGAGTTACCAGGTGGAAAATGGGTCAGGACCCTGGAGCCATCAATTCCTTCCCAAAAGAATGTGTTGTGCTGTCAAGTTTGGCAACATCAAAAAGGGAAAGATAAACAAATGTTACTCAACATGACAAAGAAATGGAAATAGATCTGTTTTCAAGTTCAAAATCTGTGTCAAGATAATCAAAGTACAATAAATCCAAATGAGAAAACAGGAAAGACATTGGTACACGGCACCAGAAAGGACCTGGCTCACGGCATACAGTATTCATGAACATTCCAATTCTTGTTGCAAAGCAAATCCTCCAATGGCCTCGATACAGTTGTTTCAGACAAACATCAATATTTCCAAAGTAGGAACTCTTCTAAGTGAGTAACTGAATAAATATTAAGCAACTAATCCATGCAGATGTTGAAGATTCTATAGATGGTGATATTATCAGTAACCTATTTAGTTCCTCAAATTTGCTCCTCAATTCAATTAGATTACAAGCTGATCTACAAAACTTTTCCCTTTGTCCCATATACTTTACACACTCACCTAATAAAACTCTATCCACCTTAACCTTGAAACCATTGAAGGCTTTCAGCGAGGGCAAGTTCCAGATTTCCATCACCCTTTATGTTGAAGAAGCGCTTCTCGATTTCACCTCCAAATGGCCTACCATTAATTTTAAGCTTATGCCCCCTTTGTACTGGACTCTTCCACCTGTGGGAACTTTTCCTCCATATTTAAGCGTTCAGCCATGTAAACATATAACAGAATATAACCATACTTAACCGATCAGCCATGTAAACATATAACAGAATATATGCAAAGTTTATGCGACCTGATCTCCTAATTTCATGATCTATTAAACATAACTGACCTCATTATCCTAGGCTGGGAGATTAATTTGACCATTTTCTGATAGTAACCATCATTCAGACATCCCTGCTTGAAACACATTTTGTGGACAGTGACACCAACAAGATTCCACTTTTGTGCAATGCCTCCTACTGAGAAAACTGCAGATGCTCAGCAACTTGCCTCACAATAAGGGAATGACTACTTGAGTGAAGTAAATTTGAGCATGCATAGCACTGATGGCAAACACAGAGACAAAGCCTCCAAAGATAATCAGAGAAGAGATAAGAATTTGGTAAAGAAATCCTGAGATAATGTCTTTCAAGTTTAGTACATGAATCAAACTCTAAGGGCATGTATACCAGGTAGGTTTAATACTGGCGCAAATCATTTTCACCTTCACACCAACATTAAACTGGTCATGTAAATTCAGAGTCATAGACCAACCTGATGTGAAGGAGCGTGTAACTCCCAGGAACTTTGTAGGGGAATATGGTTGGTGGAAATCTCACACTACTTTAAATAAAAAGCAGAACTTTGTCAACGCTGTAAAATCAGAGTCTAAAAGGTAAGAGATCCTGGAAAACTCAACCAATCAGACAGCATCTATGCCGGAAACGGACAGGTTGAAGTTTCAGGTGAGTGGTCAAGTATGTTCTGTTAAATTTGAACCTGTATTGCAGTTCAGACATAAAATGTATCCCAATGCCATCACATAATTGTCATATTTACTGCACTAAATGGAATCAGAATGTAACTGAGCAGGATGATCTTGCAAATAATACCACATTATGCTGGTTAATTAGGTACATATATCCTATGTTGGGCTCATATGAAGTTCAACTCAGAGAATGCATCCTGTACTAGCATATATGAAATTAACTTGACATAGTTTCAACTTATTTCTGGTGAGTTTGCTGGATGAAAACTTGCAAAATATAGACCCAAATGACACAAAGCCAGTCGCACTCAAAAATAAAACAAAGAACTGCAGAAGCTGGAGGTTAGAAACAAAAATATAAATTGCTGGAGAAACTCAGCAGGTCTGGCAACATCTGTAGGAAGAAGACAAAGTTAATATTGTGAGGCTGGTGAGTCTTCATCAGAACTCAATGTTAACTTTGCCTTCTTCCTACTGCCGTTCCTGCTGAGTATATTTGAGGAAGACAAGTATCACGCCAGTGCTATAAGGGTTTCTATTCTGTGCTCACTTCAGCAGCCTTATGTCTCGTGAAATGATGGTTTGTGCCTTGGTGGTCAACTCTGTGTTAAAAGTGCCTGGTGTTGGTTAGAAACCCCACTCTGGCCTGGTGGTGTCTGCCAAATTTGCAGTAGAGGAAGATGGTAGTTAGAGAAAGTTCAGAATTTGCTGAGCACTGTTTGCCATGATCTCCATCTTGGTCTGTTAAGTTTTACATTTCTGTTCGCTTCTTCCAATGACACTCCCCAACTCCCCACACCTCCCACCTCCCCACCACCACTACCACCACCAAAAATAGTCTGCCTCCAGATGTCGTGTTCATCAGCGACCGCCTTCTGGTGTTCTGTGTTGATGTCCACTTCTTTCATACTTTTTAAGCTCAGTCACCTGAACAAGTCTAATAGCCACACTCATTATCTTAAAACTGTTGACATTCGCACAGAACATAGAACACAGAACATTACAGCGCAGTACAGGCCCTTCGGCCCTCGATGTTGCGCCGACCTGTGAAAACCAATCTGAAGCCCATCTAACCTAAACTATTCCATTATCATCCATATGTTTATCCAATGACCATTTAAATGCCCTTAAAGTGGGCGAGTCTACTATTTTTGCAGGCAGGGCATTCCACGCCCTTACTACTCTCTGAGTAAAGAACCTACCTCTGACATCTGTCCTATATCTATCACCCCTCAATTTAAAGCTATGTCCCCTCGTGCTAGCCATCACCATCCGAGGAAAAAGGCTCCCACTGTCCACCCTATCTAATCCTCTGATGATCTTGTATGTCTCTATCAAGTCACCTCTTAACCTTCTTCTCTCTAACGAAAACAGCCTCAAAACCCTCAGCCTTTCCTCATAAGACCTTCCCTCCATACCAGGCAACATCCTGGTAAATCTCCTCTGCACCCTTTCCAATGCTTCCACATCCTTCCTATAATGCGGTGACCAGAACTGTACGCAATACTCCAAGTGCGGCCGCACCAGAGTTTTGTACAGCTACAACATGACCTCATGGCTCCGAAACTCAATCCCTCTACCAATAAAACCTAACATACTGTACGCCTTCTTAACAACCCTATCAACCTGGGTGGCAACTTTCAGTGATCTATGCACATGGACACCGAGATCTTTCTGCTCATCCACACTACCAAGAATCTTACCATTAGCCCAGTACTCTGTATTCCTGTTACTCCTTCCAAAGTGAATCACCTCACACTTTTCCGCATTAAACTCCATTTGCCACCTCTCAGCCCCAGCTCTGCAGCTTATCTATGTCCCTTTGTAACCTACAACATCCTTCTGCACTATCCACAACTCCACCAACTTTGGTGTCATCCGCAAATTTACTAACCCATCCTTCTACGCCCTCATCCAGGTCATTTATAAAAATGACAAACAGCAGTGGCCCCAAAACAGATCCTTGAGGTACACCACTAGTAACTGAACTCCAGGATGAACATTTCTCATCAACCACCACCCTCTGTCTTCTTACAGCTAGCCAATTTCTGATCCAAACCGCTAAATCACCCTCAATCCCATGCCTCCGTATTTTCTGCAATAGCCTACCATGGGGAACCTTATCAAACGCTTTACTGAAATCCAAATACACCACATCAACCGCTTTACCCTCATCCACCTGTTTGGTCACCTTCTCGAAGAACTCAATAAGGTTTGTGAGGCACGACCTACCCTTCACAAAACCGTGTTGACTATCCCTAATCAAATTATTCCTTTCTAGATGATTATAAATCCTATCTCTTATAATCCTTTCCAACACTTTACCCACAACCGAAGTAAGGCTCACTGGTCTATAATTACCAGGGTTGTCTCTACTCCCCTTCTTGAACAAGGGGACAACATTTGCTAGTCTCCAGTCTTCTGGCACTATTCCTGAAGACAATGATGACATAAAGATCAAAGCCAAAGGCTCTGCAATCTCCTCTCTAGCTTCCCAGAGAATCCTAGGATAAATCCCATCCGGCCCAGGGGACTTATCTATTTTCACACCTTCCAGAATTGCTAACACCTCCTCCTTATGAACCTTAATCCCGTCTAGTCTAATAGACTGTATCTCAGTATTCTCCTCAACTACATTGTCTTTTTCCTGCGTGAATACTGACGAAAAATATTCATTTAGCACCTCTCCTATCTCTTCGGACTCCACGCACAACTTCCCACGACTGTCCTTGACCGGCCCCAATCTTACTCTAGTCATTCTTTTATTCCTGACATACCTATAGAAAGCTTTAGGATTTTCCTTGATCCTACCTGCTAAAGACTTCTCATGTCCCCTCCTGGCTCTTCTTAGCTCTCTCTTTAGGTCCTTCCTGGCTAACTTGTAACTCTCAAGCGCCCTCACTGAGCCTTCACGCCTCATCTCTACATAAGCCTCCTTCTTCCTCTTGACAAGAAATTCAACTTCTTTATTAAACCACGGTTCCCTCGCTCGACCACTTCCTCCCTGCCTGACAGGTACATACTTCTCAAGGACACGCAGTAGCTGTTCCTTGAACAAGCTCCACATTTCAATTGTGCCCAGCCCCTGCAGTTTCCTTCTCCACCCTATGCATCCTAAATCTTGCCTCATCGCCTCATAGTTGCCTTTCCCCCAGCTATAACTCTTGCCCTGCTTTATATACCGATCCCTTTCCATCACTAAAGTAAACGTAACTGAATTGTGGTCACTATCACCAAAGGGCTCTCCTACCTCCAAATCTAACACCTGGCCTGGTTCATTACCCAGTACCAAATCCAATGTGGCCTCGCCTCTTGTTGGCCTATCTACATACTGTGTCAGGAAACCCTCCTGCACACATTGGACAAAAACTGACCCATCTGAAGTCCTCGAACTGTAGCGTTTCCAGTCAATATTTGGAAAGTTAAAGTCCCCCATAACAACTACCCTGTTAGCAACTTCCGCTCATGTCTAATTTGCAAGGCAGTCTGTGGATAAGAATATCTGAATGCTTGCAATAAGGAATAAATCATTGTACTGACTGTAGCACCAACCTCTATAATACAATCCCTGAACATTTTCAAGTTATCTTAACATGCATTTTGAAACACGGTGATCAGTAACTTCGGCCTTCTATTGCACCCACCAACTAAACTGAGCAACTTACCGGGAATTCATTCACCAGGTTCCAACTGAGCTTTTGAGTGAGAAAGCGTGTGATACCGCATCCCTGCATAATCTGTGGCAGCTGTGCAGAATATCCAAATGTATCTGGCAACCAGAACTATTTAAAAAGATAATGATAAAGAGAAAGAGCATGTATATTATTACTGGTAACATTCTTCAGCCATGCAAATAGCTCAGAGTGCAGTTCATGCTGATATTGAGTTATGAAGGACCCCGACTTGTGGTGGTGTAAAGGATGGCACTAAAATAGGCCACATCCAAAAATACCAGAACCAAACAACTCTTGTTTGTTATCCAATGATACTCAATGGAAGGACCTGTGTATATATCAGCAGGAGGCTGTACCAATGGCCTTTTTATGAGGTCAGGCTTTACGCATTTTGAGGATGGGGCAAACTCAGATGCAACAATGAAATATAATCACACAGAGGAACAGCTACATGGGCAGGCTACCACAGGGTCACAGGACCCACAAAATTAAAGCTGAATAAGACATAGCTTGTAATGCTAAATCTCAAATCTTAATTTTATAAACCAATGTGGCATTTCTGTATCATTTCACCAATTCATATACAATTGTTCAAAAATTTAACCTAGCTTGACGGCCAATTGATGAGCCCTATTGCCTGAATCAATGCATCAAGTATAATAACCTAAATTATCACCGTTACCAAAATAAAGACTATTGCCTCAGGTGATAAAGGAAGAAATGCAAGTTAATGGTGGTAACAAAAGAATATTCAGAATGCTTTATTAAAGTATGAAAAAGTTCTCGAATGATAAAGAAGACAGTTGACACTTACATTATTCCATGTGTTAATTTAAAGTACACAGTAACTCAGTAAAACAAGTCAGAAGTATAAATATCATCATACCCAGTAAAAACACATGCAGGACATGTAGTTCAAGAAAGACGGCTAAAGATGCCAATCATAACAGAAGAGTCACTGAGGAATGAATCACAACTATCACATGGCAGAGAAAGACAGAACCATGTTAGTTGATATTAAGCCAATAAACATAAGGAAACATTGTAAACATGAGTAAGTCTGTTTCCTCAGAAAATCTCCTCCAACTCTTAGAGAAGACTTGATTTTACTACAAAATACAACATAAAATTATGGCTTTTTATGACGAAAGTAGAATTTGACTGATTACTTGGAGATCAGCAAACACAAATTTCAGTTTGGTTTGTCAGGATGATTTTACAATCAGTAGTGGTATCTTAAAGCATTGCAATGTCATCTTGTGTCCATTTTGAAACTCAGAGTGGTTTTAGAAATTGTGTTGGAGGAAAGAGTTACTCACATTCGGACATGGGGTGGCTACATAAGTAAATAAGTAACTATTTAAACCAAACATGCTTAGCTATGTAAGTTCACTCAGCTAATTAAGAGGGACCCCCGGAATGTCATTTAAAACGGCTATTTGGTCCTCACTGAAATTAATCTTATGCAGTTTGTCCACAGCAGAAAATGGACAGTTACAATATTAACAATGTTAAACTATTTTACTTTGAAAATTCCTTTTGATGATTCATTTTTATTCTGTAACTATGTAGGAATCACTGTCTAACAAAGGCCTTATTGCTATTCCAAATACTCACCTCACAGCAATGCTTCCCAAACTCTTGTTGGAAGAACCTTTGACCCTGAAGGAATTGTCGCACCATGGATTCACCAGAAGGGAGATTTCCATCCTGCAAAACTTGTACATTAGTGCACCCTACTGGTTGAATTTGTGACTGCTTCATAACCCAAGTAAAACAGAAATACAACCAACACCAACAAAATAGGAGCAGTGACAAGATAGATTGAACACTTGTTCAGCAAATACAACCATTCATTTCTTTATGGTTGAAGAGTGTTGGGGACTAATGTTCAATTGGCAATCAAAACGTAGGTACTAGGTTCCATTTGAACCTAATATTCTGATCCCCAATCCCTTCTGTCATCAAAGATAATCACTTACACACCTGACATTCTCTTGTCTTCTCACATTAGCTGTTAATTGCTCAACCCATGCCTTTGTTGCTGCCAGATATGATTATTCCAATGTTATCCTGGCTAGCCTCATTCGCTTAGTCTCAATCCTTCCCATCTCCACAATACCCTCCAGTCTCATAACCCAGCGAGATCTCTTGTACTCCTCCAATTCTAATCTCTTGCACAAACCTGACTTTCAACATTCCATCAGTAACCATGTATTCAGCTGCTGAAAGCTGTACACTCTGAAATTCCCTTCCTTAACTGTATTCAATCTTGCGCGATATCAACAATGAAACCCAACATTACGTCCAGTGTACTAGCACTGCCTTCAGATATTTGACGAACAGAATGCTTGATGACAAAGATCAAACCTGGCACCAAGTTCCTGGAATGCCAGTCTGTATATTACCTGTTCTTCAGGCCACTTTGTCCACATGCCTGGCTTCCAAAGCAAGCTCTCAACTCCTATCTTTGTCAAAAAAAAGGCTAAGGAAATACTTTAGAGACATCTTCAAAGCGTTCCTGGAAAAAAATGCAGTATTACTGACTACTGTAGCCCAAGACGGACCAAACTGAAAAGAAGCATCCACAAAGGTGGCAAATAATTTCAGTGTCTCCAACATGCCAGGTGGAGGTCAAGCACAAACAGCAGAAGGAGCAAGTGAAAAACTCAGCATCCCATCCACCTGCTTCTTCAAATAATACGCCACATCTGTGGCATGGTGTGTGGATCCTGTAGTGAACTGTTTGGTTACCTGATTCTACGACTAGGTATCACTGTTTCAGAAGAAGAATCACTCATTTAAGACTGAAATGAAGAGATTTTATTTTCTCTGAGGTCATGAATTTTTTGAACTCTCTTCTTTGAAAAGTGGTGGAAGTAAAGATTTTAAATCACCTTTAAGGCAGCGTAGATAGATTCATGATAAGCAAGGGGTGAAAGGTTATCAGAGTTAGGTATGAATGTGGAGTAATCAGATCTACAATGATTTTATTGAAAGCCAGAGTAGACCAGAGGGGCCAGGTGGCCTAGACCTGCTCCTAATTCATATGACTACAGGAATGACATGGATTGGGACCTGAATCTTGAAGGGTACAAGACGTTTGGGAATGACAGGAAAGTAGGAAAAATTGGAGGGGTGGCTCTGTTAATTAATGATGCTATTAGCACCATAGAGAGGGAACGACCTAAGTTCAGGAAACCAAGATATGGAAACAGTTTGGGTAGAAATGAGAAACAGTAAGTTACTTTTATGTGAATTATGGACAGGCCCTCTAATAGTAACCACACAGTATGGTGCAGTATAAAGGAAGAAATAATGAGAGCTTGTCAGAAAGGCATGCCGAGAATCATGAGAGATTTTAATCTACATACCAACTGGAAACATCAGATGGGCAAAGGGTAGATTAGATGATGAGTTCATAGAATGTTTTCAGGATAGTTTCTTAGAACAGACTGGAGCCAATCAGACAGCAGGCTGTAGAATCACAGAATCAATGAGTTAGGGTGAATTAATGATCTCATGGCGTGGATGCCATTAGGTAGCAGCAATATTAACATAATTGAATTTTACATTCAATTTAACGGAGAGAGGAGTGGATCTGAGATTACTTTTTAAAATTTAAATAAGGTCAATTATGAGGGCATGAAAGCAGAGTAGGTTAAAGTTAATTGGCAAGTCAGGTTAAAAGATAGATGCAATAGAGATGTAGTGGCCACATTTAAGGGGGTATTTCAGAGTACTCAGATTAGATACATTCCAATCAATGGACCTAGCATCCATGGCTAATCAGAAATGTTAAAGAAAGTACCAAACTGAAAGAAAAAGCATACAGTTGTGTAAGGGCAGTGGCAGGTCTAAAAATTGAACAGAATTTTAAAAAACAGTAAGAAAATGACTAAAAAATATAGAGGCGACAAATTAGAATACAAGAGAAAGTTAGACATAATTTAAAAACAGATAGTAGGATCGTTCAAATACTTAAAGAAGAGCAAGTAAAGTGAGCGCTGGTTATACAGAAAGTGAGACTGTAGAACTAATAATGTAAAATGAGGAAATGGCAGATAAAATGAACAGGTATTTTATACTTCACTATAGAGGATAAAAATAATATTCCACATGCAGCAATAAATCAGGAAATGGAAGGGAGGGAAGAACTCAGGAAAATTACAATCACCAGAGAAGTGGTATGTAGTAAATTGTTAAAATGACAGGCCAACAGTGTCTGGGTCCTGCAGTTTTAAAAAAAGTGGCTGGATGAGATATTTGATGCATTGGTTTTAATTTTTGAAAACACTACCCTTGATTTTGGGAGGGTCACATTAGATTAGAGCAACAAATTTAACTTCTTCATTCAAAAAGGAAAGGAGATAGAAAGCACAAAATTACAGCACAGTTAACTTAACATCTCTCATTATAAAAATGTTGGAAGCTGTTTTGAAACAAGTCAAAGCAAGGCACCTGTATAAGTTCAAGAGGATCAGGCAATGTCATCCCAATCTATTGGATTTATTCCGACGAGGTAACATATGCTGAGGATAAAGGGGGAACCGGTCGCTGGAATGTACTGAGGTTATTGTGGGAAATCAAAACTCATGGTGCAGGGGACAACATAATGGTATGATACTGATTTGGCATTGGTTGGTAAAAAGAAAATAGAAAGCAGACACAAGACCTAACCAGAGTTTTGTAAAGCTTCATCAGAACATCTTAGCTTTTGTACTCTGCCCTTCCTTTTAATTATAAAGATCAGGACTTTTTATTCTTTTATTAACATCTTTGTCAATCTATCCTGCCACAGTCAGTAACTTGTGCCCAGGACCCTTTGCAACTGCAGCCTCTTTAGAATTGTAAGCTTTAATTTGTAGAATAGAACAGAATAGAAATTTATTGCCATGTGTACTTTTACATGAAAAATACAGTGAAAAGCTTTTTAAGTTGTCACACCACAATGCCTACATTAATTGCCTCTTTATATTGTCTCTTCTCATTTTTCCTACCAAACCGAAACCTACTTTTGTGCAAAACATCTCCTGTATGACACTTCATCAAATGCTTTTTGACAATCTAATCACTCCACATTCACCTTACTACCCACAAGTTCAAAAACTAACAGCTTTGTCAAACCTGATCCTCTTTCATTAATCTATGGCAAATCTGCATAATCATGTTATGATTGTCTAAGCACCTTGTTGTCACATCCCTAATACTAGAATTTAGCATTTCCCTCATACTGATGTTAGGCTTATGAATCAACAGTTCTCTCTATGTCTCTCCCCATTTCTTGATTTGCCACTGTAAAATCCACAGGGAGTGCTTCAGAAATAGGGAATTCTGGAAAAGCAATGGATCCATGCAGTTTAATTATCCATATCAATGACTGGAAAATTTAGGGTGGATAAATAGATACAAATAAACTGAATCAAATTCTGAGGTAATGATTAACAAAGAGCTTTCCCTGTTGGAGATGAAAAGTTCAAGGAATGGATTTGTAGTAAACTTATTTGCTATTACCAAGATAAAAAATAACTTTTGTAATCGAAAGACAATTGCGTTGTGTCTTTTGGCAAATCTATGATGAATCCTACATTTAATTGCTGTGAAGCAGAAATATTAAATAACAGTGTTGTGCAGTGAATTGAAAGAAGCATATTGTACCTTTTTGTATTCATTCATGGGATATGTGGCTCACTGGTTGGTGCATAGATTACTGCCTATCCCAGTTGCCCTTGAGATGATGATTTTGAGCTGCCTTCATCTGCAGTCCATTTTGTGTAGAGATACCACAATGCCATTTGGAGGGGAGTTCTACAATCTTTGAACCCAGTGGCACAGTGGAACAGTGATTTATTTCCAAGTCAGGATGGTGAGTGGCTAAGCGAGAAACTTGCAGGTGGTGGCATTCCATGTATCTGCTGCACTTGGCTTTCTAGATGGTAATGGTAATGGGTTAGGACGGTACTTCTTAAGGAGCCTTGGTGAATTTCTCCAGTGCACCTTGGGCGTGGTACACAATACTACTACTGAGTGTTGGTGGTGGAGGGAGTGAATGTTTGTGTATGTGGGCTACTTTGTCCTGGATGGTATTAAGCTTCTTGAGGGTTGTTGGAGTTGCACTTATCCAGGCAAGTGGGAATATTCCATCACAGTCCTGATTTGTGCCTTGTAGATAGCGGACACAGGCTGGAGACTCAGAAGGTCAGTGACTCGCTGCAGTATTCCTAGCCTCTGAAATAATATGGTTGGACCAGTTCAGTTTTTGGTCAATGGTAACCCCCAGGATGTTGATAGAGGGGGATTCGGTGATGGTAGTGTCAGTGAATATCTTGGGACAATGGTTAAATTCTCTTTTGTTGAAGGTAATCACTGCCTGGCACTTGTGTGGCACGAATGTTACTAGATACTTGTCATCTCAAATCTGGATATTGGCCCAATTGTTGCTGTATTTAAACATGGAATGCTTCAGTATCTGATGTTATGTGTCTCACAGCTTATGAAAGACTAATGAAAGAGTTGAAATAATATGCAGCACCTTGTCATATGTCAGAAGTGTTTCCCATGTAACACATGACTCTGAAGGCCTTTTTTGTACATAGCCATAAATCACAACGAAATTAGTAATCAGTTAAATTGGTTTCAGTGTTGCTGATTCTGGTAGAAATGTTAGTCAGGTCACTGGCAGGTCAAATGTTCTTCTTTACACCTCATCCAAAGGATTGCAATTGAACATATAAATTAGTAGCAGGAGTGAGCCCTTGGCCTCACTGAGACTTAAGACGCTAAAATGGAGGAGCAGACAGAAATAGGCCAATCAGCCCTTCAGCTCTGCTCTGCCATTTCAGCCCCAAATATTCCTAATATCCCAACCTCTACAGCCCTTTGTGGTAAAGAATTCCACAGATTAACCACCCTCTGACAGAAGAAACTCCTCCTCATCTCTATTTTAGATGGGCAATTCCTTACTCTGACATTATGGTCTTTTGAAATTAAAAAGCTTTCTCTCAATAATGTACATATACTGTCAGCCTATCTATGTTCTCAAACCTAGGAATGGGAAAAATAACCTCTCAAATTTCTGGATTTGGGGTTACCACTGGAGGCAAGGTGACATTTAATGTAACGTGGCTAGGCAGGGACATGCAGTGCTTTCTAAATCAAAAGATCTGATACTTTACCATTTCCACCCAGGTACCTCCCACCATGACAAACTGTCCCTTCTCAGCGAACTCCTTGATTTGTGTGTATAAGTCTGGATAACAGTTCTTTACCCACTCCAACTGCTGTGCCTGTTAGAAAGTGAAAGGAAATGATAACAGTTCATATTCATCATCTATCAGTGAACTCTTTAAGCACTTAAATCCAAAATGTAACAACAAAAAGAAAGAATTTACATTTATATACTAACTTTCACGTTCTCTAAAACTCCAGAGCGCTCCTACAACAACTGGTATTTGTACAGCACCTTCAATACAATAAAACAGCCTAAAGCACAACAAAAATTGAAACAAAGTCAAAGAAGGAAACATTCGAAGGATGTGAAAGCTTGGTTGAAGAGACAGATTTCAAGTATATCTTGAAGAAGAAAGGAAGAAGAAACAGGTTTACAGGAGACTTCCAGAGCTTAGAGTCTAGATGACAATCAATGGAGGGGGAGGAAAAGGAGCGAGGTGGGATGGAGATATGCAAGAGGCCAGAGTTCACGGATTGTTGCAGAAAGAGGTTATAGACATGGGTAGCGCAAGGCCACAGAGGATTTGGAACAGGAGATTGAAAATTTGAGAATTGAAGCAATGCTGGACCAGGACCAATGTATTTATGTCTATGATAAACATGCAAACAAGGAACAAGAGGGGGCCACTCAGCCCTTCAAGCCTGCTCCACTGTTCAATGAGATTATGGCTGATCTGATTTTAACATCAACTCTACAGTCCTGCATATCCCCAGTTATTTTTCATCCTCTCAGTGATCAAGAATCTATTTCTCCTCTGCCTTAAAAATATTTAAAGATTCTCACCCTCCGTGTTTTGAAGAAAGGAATTCCAAAAACTCTCAAACCTCTGAGAGAAAGAAGACGTTTCCTTATCTCTATTTTAAATGGGCCACCCCTTTTTAAACTATGACCTTCTGGTTCTAGACTCTCCCACAAGAGGAAGCATCTTTTCAACATCCATCCAGTCAAGGTGCCTTAGGATCTTAAATGTTTCAATTAAGTCACCTCTGACTCTTTCAGGTATTAGTCTAGTGAACTGTTTCCAACACACTAACTTCTTTCATAAGTATGGTGACCAGAAATGTACATAGTACTCCTAGTCTCATAGTACTGCAGTCTCACCAATGTCCTGTATAACTGAAGCTTACTCCCTACTCTTACAGTCAATGCGCTTGCAATAAAACATAACATTCAACTGGCTTTCCTGACTACTTGCTATACCTGCATGCAAACCTTTTATGACTCATGGACTAAGATTTCTCTGCATTTCAGAGTGTTGCAACCTCTCACCATTTAGATTTTATTATTTATGCCAAAATGGACAAATTCAAACTTCCCCACATTATACTCTATTTGCCATATCTTTCCCCACTCACTTAACCTATCCATATTCATATCATAGAATCATCATATCATAGAATCCCTAGTGTGGAAACAGGCCCTTCGGCCCAACAAGTCCACACCAACCCTCAGAGCATCCCACCCAGACCCATCAGCCTATAACCCACCTAATCTACACATCTTCCTTTGTAGGCTCCTTATGTCCTCTTCACAACTCACTTTCCTACCTTTGTGTCGTCAGCAAATTTACTCCCATACCTTTGTTCCCTTCATCCAAATCATTTATAAATAGCAATAAGACAGCATGGAGCTGGGGGAACACAGCAGGACAAGAAGGGTCCCGAGCTGAAACATCAACTTTCCTGCTCCACTGATGCTGCCTGGCCTGCTGTGTTCCTCCAGCTCCACACTGTGTTATCTCTGACTCCAGCATCTGCAGTTCTTGCCATCCCATTTATATACAGCAAACCTTGTTTTAACTGGCACGCTGTGAACCGGCAGTCTCAATAAATTGGCAAAAATTATATCCTGGTGGTTTACTGCATTATCGTTATCTCCGTGATGTCTGAGTAGTCAATGGAGGGTGTGAGTGAGAAGGCTCTCTGACGTTAAGTTTTAAGGGAAAGTTGCATTATTATTTAAGTGATTTATACTGTAAATAAAGCATAATAATGATGGGCATATCCCCTGCATTACATTTAAATTATTTAGTGTGTGTTTTATATTGATTATGTGGTCCCCTTAATCAACCAGAATATTTGATCAACCAGCACACACCTGGTCCTAAAAGTGCTGCTTAGTAAAAGGTTTGCTGTACGTTATAAAGAGCTGAGGACCCAGCATCGACCCCCGTAGCATCTTGCCAAGCCTGAAAAAGCCTCACTTATTTCTACTCTCTGCCTTTTGTTAGCCAGTCAATCTTCTATCCATGTTAATATATTACTCTCAACACCATAAACTTTTATTTTTTGAGTTAACCACAGTACTGTATCAAACTCCACTGTGGCTGAAAGTGAAAGGTGCATATTTCAAAAGTGGAAGCATTTTAACAGTGCAGCTCAAGATGAATAATCAGTCTAAACCATTCAGACACCAGTGTTTTTGTATTAAAAATAAAAAAAGTAATGCAGTGTGAAACATCAGTGACCATGGAGATGGAAATGGTAACGTTGTATAGTACTGAAGACCAGAGCTGGACAAAATTACAGCATGGGTTAGAAGGCTGTCACAGAGGGACCCTGAAATAAGGTGGAGTACATTTTATTCTGTGCATTGTGTGTCAGGGGATACAGAATGGGGCTAGTACCAGGCTATGGAAATTGAGTAATTCCAAGTTCAAGCATAATGGATGGTGAGAAGAACATTTGAAAGGATATGTCTCCAAGCAACGAATACATGGATAAGGGTTTTGAAAATGGAGAAGAAGAAGTGGGGACAAAACAGGACACTATAATGAAAGCAACAAGGAATCTAGGATGATGGTTAGATGGAATGGAAATTCATAACTACCACTAGCACTGTGTCAGCAGCTAGTGTCCATGAAAAGACAGCTGTGTATGTAAGACCACTGACATTAACGAGGAAGAAAAGAAAACAAGAGGGTGTGCAGCAGGCTGTCAGTGTGCTGTCACCTATTTTGAGCTATGGCTGAAGATCAATTTCACCCACATAATCCCAAGTGAAGATCTAGCACAAGGTAGATGGGATGATTGGCCAATGGGCCTCCTATGATTCTGTAACTTCTAGGAGCTGTAATCATCCCATTTGTAAAGAGTGCAACAATACATGCTCAGGCTCAAAAAAGAGGGACACCAGCTGGGAAGAGCTATCTCTGAGGAGAGCACAATATGTGTGACTGCTTTTACAAGTGACGAAAAGAGGGAGAATAAGGGAAAAACTGTAGATAGGGTAGGGTATCAATGTACCAATGTACCTTAATTCCAGTGAAACCTTTAGAAGGAGCCAATAAATTCAAAGACAGCTTTTAAGGCAGGGAAATTAAATTTGAGAGGACTGCAGTTATTTCTTTTCATTATAAATGGCTAATTACATTATTAAAGGTCAAGGAAAATCACCTGCCAACTCTTAACCAACTGTATAGGACTAAATTTGGCAAAAATTTACTTCTGGATGAAAATGCTAACATAGGAATACAAATTTCTGTGGCTGGAATTAATGGCTATTTTAATGAACCTTTATCAATTTGAATAATTATATTCAATCTGGAATCATTGCCTCAAATTTATTTTGCTGTAATTTTTAGTTTTGTGAAGGTGCCAGTTTAAGGAATTCTATGAATCAAGTTTTGTGGCATGCACATTAGTTCTGCTTTATAGGCCAAGTACAAAAGCTTAATGATGAGGCAGAAAGGCAGCACGGAAAGTGAGGAAGCACTCCAGATCAAAGACAGAGCAGTCCTGAAAGACCAAATGACCAGCTCCCTCTCTAAAGTACTGTGTCCTTTTGAGCCCAAAGACACACATCGAGAATCAGCCTGTTCAGCCACAAGCAGAGCTGTGGCATAAACTCACGGCCCTGAACAGACGTCATTCTCAAATTGAGGGAGAGCCGATAATGACCGGCTAAGTAGGTAGTATCGTAGCTTACCCCACCATGTGTAACATTCATGCTGAGCTCAGCCACAGTGGAGAGAAAGTCTACATAGACTTTAGAAACATGTAATTATTAGTAATAAAACAAACACAACGAATTTTGAGAATAGATGTGAGGTTTTATACTATCAGAAATTAAAACAGACACTCTCACTGCCAGAACACGTACACCAAGAGACACCTCATTTTGAGATATGCCTGGTATTGCTCTTGTTGCCTGCCTGCACTCTTCATTGAGCCAGAGTGGTATGCAGTGGCATGATGGAATTGGTAGTATGGAGGATATGCTGGGCCTTGAGGTTACAGATTGTATTTGAAAACAATTCTGCTCAGGCTGATGGCCCATCGCACCTCAGTGGATATCCTATCTTGAGTTGCTAGATCAGTTTGAAATGTATGCATTCAGCATAGTGATATTGTCATACAACAGGAAGGAGGGTAACTTCAATATGAAGGTAGGGCTTGCTCTTCACAATGACTATGTACTGGTGCAGTCATGGACAGGTGCATCTGCGACAGGTAGACTGGTGAGATTAAGGAAGTTTTTTTTTTCTTGTTGGTTCCCTCACTCCTTGCCGCAGATCCAGGCTAGCAGTTATGCCCTTGAGAATTTGGTCAGCAGTGTTGCTGCCAGGCCACTCTTAGTGATGGACAATAAAGTCCCCAACTGAGAGCGCATTCTGTGCCACTGTCACCCTTAGTACATCCTCCATGTGGTATTCAACATGCAGGAGAACTGATTCGTCAGATGAGGGGTGACAGTGCATGGCAATCAGCAGGAGTTTTCCTTGCCCATGATGGGCCTAATACTGTGAGTTTTTAAATGGGATCCCGAATCAACATTGATGACTCCCAGTGCAGCTCCCTCCTGACTGTAAATCACTGTGCTGCTATTTCTGGTGGATCTGTCCTGTTAGGAAGAGGGGTCTTACCCAGGGATGGTAACAGTGGTGTCTGGGACTTTGTATGATTCCTTTGAGAATGACATTATCAGCTCTCCCAATTTTTGCACAAGATCCTGGATGTTAGTAAGGAGGACTGTACAGCATTGACAGGGCTATTGTGTGCCATTGTCATTTATGGTGCACTGGTCAACACTGGATGGTCTGCCCAGTTACATTTCTTTCATAAACTTAGCAGCAGCTAGTTAAATTGAGTAACTTGCTAAGCTATTTCAGAGAATAATCAAGGGATAACCACATTACTGAGCATGAAATTCTACCATGCCACGATCATTTCACCAAGAAGCTCCCTTACCATGAGGTTATTGATTAATTCTGTCACACTGCTCATTACAAGGCATGGATTACCCCACTCCCTAGTTGGGTCTAGAATTTACTGATCTAAGAAAGTGTCCCAAATTCACTCTGTAAATTCATTTTCCAGGATACCTTTGCCAATCTGACTAGTCCAGTCTACATGAAGTTTTAAGTGACCAAAGATCATTAATGGCATCTTTCTTCAAGATCCTGTTCATTTATCCTTGTCCACTCTGTCCTATATTATAATTACCGGTAGTCACCTATAATCTATTCTCACAACTGACTTCTTACATTTCTTGTTTTTTATCTCTACTCGAACTGATTCAACATGTTGCTCCTTCAAGCTAAGGTTATCTCTCACTACAATACTAATGATGTCCTGAAATAACAGAGCTACACCACCACCATTCCCTAGCATTAGGTCTTTTCAGCATTCCAGTCCTAACCTTAGTCATTTTGCAACCATGTCTCAGTAATGGCTATCAGGTCATATATTTATTTCTATCTGTGGTAATGATTCAACCATTTTGTTATGAATGCTCTGTACATTCAGATGCAGGAACTTTAACTCTGTTTTTATACCATTTCTGCTGTCTAAACTAACTCTAATCAATTCCAAGAACCTACAGAACATCCCCACCAAAGCTAAACAAATGGATGAAAGCGTCACACATGCTACAACATCAGCCTGGGGCTATGATTAAAGCTGATTAAAGTTGTTTCCTTCTGAAGACAAAATTGGAAAGACAAAATCAGAGAAACATCCAACAAAGTCCACACATTTGAACTTCCTATTTGCTGTTTACACTGCAGTTAACAGGGGATTGTGACGAGACCTGCACTCCTGACTGATTGTGTGTGTGCATGTCAAGCAGTGTGTGTGTCTGTCTGGGTGTGTGCGTGCATGCGTGTGCATTGAAGACAAAACAGCAACATTAAAATTACCTCACCACACATCTCACCTGTGAGCAAGTAAAGATAAAGTTTGGGTTTTTCTCCATAAGGCGAAGTGTAGATACCCAGCTCCTAGCACATTTTCGAATAGTCTCCTCATAAGGCCACAACCAAGCTGTTTAACAAAAAAGTCATTAAAATACTAAATCCAATCACATACAGTAATTGGGAACAAGCAACAGTCCTTTCATCTCCTTTTTCCTGGACTTCCATTCAACTAGATCAGGGGTGATTTGTAAGACTCTTTACGCCATTTCCAACGTCTATTCTGTGACCTATAATGTCCTTATCTAACAAAAATCCATCCTTCTCATTTCTGAAAATTTCAATTGGTCCCTATTCCAAAAGCTTTTAGGGAGATTATTCTAATCTCAATTATATAAAGAAGTGTTTCCTGACATCACTACTGATTGACCTGGCTGTAACTTTAAGATTGCATCCCTCTTGTTCTAAATTCCCCACAAAGGAAACAGTTTTCCTCTATCCAACCCACAACCTTAATAAATACCTTTGCATCTTCTATATTCAAGGGAATACAAGCAGGGCATACAGTCAAATCTAATGTACTATCAATATCTTGAATCTGGAACTCACTGCCTGTAAGTGTGGTAGAGGCAGAAACCCCCATTATATTTAGATGTGCACTTGCAAAGCCAAGGCATATAAGGCAATGGGCCAAAGGCTGGAAAATGGGATGAGAATAGTAAGGTATAACACAGTGTGGAGCTGCAGGAACACAGCAGGTCAGGCAGTATCAGAGGAGCAGGAAAGCTGATGTTTCAGGTCAGGACCCTTCTTCCCTCAGGAGGGAGGAGGACAACTTCATCAAGGTGGGCATCTTTAGAAGCGGCTTTGTAAGGTGGTTGTTTTTATCTGGAGTGGACGATGGGCTGAAGGGCCTTTTTCTGTGGTGTAAATCTCTATGACTCTGTGATAAGTAAAAGGATACAGAGCTGTTAATTTATTTACTTAGTCTCTTAAAGAGGCCCTTAAGCATCAGCTTGATGGGCCAAATAACTTTCCTTGTGCTTTAAGATTCTATGGGTTAGATTTTAAGAGGAAATTCTTTATTCATTCATCAGATGAGGGCATCGCTGGTTAGGCCAGCATTTATTGCCCATCCCTAATTGCCCAGAGGGCAGTTATGAGTCAACCACATTGCTGTGGGTCTGGAGTCACGTTGACCAGACCAGAAAAGGATAGCAGTTTCCTTCTCTAAAGGACATTAGTGAACCCGATGGGTTTTTCCGACAACCAGCGAAGGAGTCGTGGTTATCATCAGACTCTTAATTCCAGATATTTCTGAATTTAAATTCCACCAGCTGCCATAGCAGGATTTGAACCCAGGTCCCCAGAACATTACCTGGGTCTCTGGATTAACAGTCCAGTGATAATAGCACTAGGCCATTGCCTAACAATAACGGCTCGGCAGCTGTTTCACATCTTTCCAAAGTTATACTTTCACAGAGCTCAGTGAAAAACTTTTAAAAATCAGGAGAAGCAAAACAGATTGCCATCTTACAATCATTTGTTTTATATTCTCACATAGAGAAACAATCTATTCCTATATCACTGTGAAGAATGACAGTGAGATTCAATGCAGCAAAACTAAGGGTATATTTACAGAGTTGCTCTTTATTGCAACAAGGTGATCTTGCAGATGATACCACTCACTATCACTAGCGTGGATTGGCAGCAGTCTGTACCACTTATAAAATACACTTCTGACATCACCTTTCAAACTTGCGACCTCCAATACCTAGAAGATCAACGACAGCAGATACATGGGTACACCACCACTGCAAGTTCCCCTTCAATTCACACACCATCGTCACTTGAAAATATATCATCATTTCTTCACTACTGTTGCGTCAAGATCCTGGAAATCCCTCCCTAATGGCACTGTTGGTGCCCTGCACCACACAGACTGCAGCGGTTAAGAGCTAATAATTCCAAAGGTTTTTGCAAAGTGAAAAGAGAAAGATTATTTCTCTTGGTTGGAGGATCAATAATTAGAAAGAAACTTGCATTAATGTAGTACCTTTCACAATTACCAGACATCTAAAAACAAATTACAGCCAAAGAAGTACTCTGAGGCATAGCAACTGTTCTAGGAAACTTGCCTACCAATTGCACACAGTAGGATCCCACAAGGAGTGTTGCAATAAAGACCAGCGAATTTTAGATGTTGGCTGAGAGATATTTATTAGCCAGGACACCAGGAGAGCTCCCCTGGTCTTTTCCGAGTCCTGATACAGGAACATTTGCCTCTAACTGAGAGGGCAGGCATGGCTTGGTTTTACTATCTCATACCCTCAGCCTAGATTCAAAACACATGGGCCTACAGGCATGGATTACAGATTGACTGCAACACCGCTAGTGCACCAGCAGTCATTTCTACCTGTATGTACTATAGAATTGTGCTTGGTGTCCTGCACTGGCTTTTGATTAAGCAATGCCACAAATTCAAAATTTTCATCCTCATTTTCAAATCCCTCCATAGCTCTGCCCCCTCCCATCCTCGAGCTCCACAACTGCTGAAATACCTGCATTCCACCAATGTTGACCTTTTGCTCCTTGCTCATTTTAATTGCTCCACCAATGGTGGCTTTGCACTCAGCCATCAAAGATCTAGACCCTGGAATTCCCTCCCTCAACCGCTTTTTACAACTTTACAATGGTGCTTGAATCTACGTTTCCAAGAAAACATACAGTCATTTGCACTACTATCTTCTTTTCTGATTTGGAACCAAATTGTGTTTAATAATGTTCTTATTTATATATGGACCATCTGAACCAGTGATTTATATTTTTAGTTAGTCAGGTTCTATGACAGCAGTGATGTGTTCCAATTTTAAACTACTTTGACTGAGGTTGTAACATAATTGAAGCAATCAAAATAATTCATATATAGAACTAAATACTTTGGATGCAATGCAGGCTGTAGACTATTCAAGGGTTTAAATGGTCTGGACACTGAATAATAGATATATCTCAGTGACTACAAGGTTACAATAAGGGGATAACAACGAAATAAGTTGTGTAAGCAGAGACCATTATTGACACTGAAATGTAAACTCTAGTTTCTTTTCAATGACTGACTATATGCTGATTTTCTCTGACCTGTATCAATGTGGCAATATCCCATTGCATGCACTGTATGCTGACTCTTGCCATTCTCTTGCTGAAGAAAATCGCTAGCCAATCTGTGAACTTCTGCAAATGTGCTCCTGTCTTCCACATCACAGGCATTCACCATCTTATTGGCAGTGTACAATGCTTGATAGCTACGCTGATTTTCAATGCCGAGGTGCTGGAGAGAGTAGGGGATAAAAGAGGGAACAAATAGTACAAAAAGCTTTAAAACTTCATAATGTGTTACTGCTAAAATCACGACTACGTCTACAGAATGTCCTGAAGTTAGTTTAATGTCTTATCCAAAACACTGCATCTCTAGCAATGCAACATTCTGTTAATACTGCACTGAGTTGTCAGACTAAATTGCATGCTGAAATCTCCAGAGCAGGAAGTGAACCCACGAACATTTAACCAAGAGGTGAGTCACAGCTAACAACAGGTTTATTTTTGCTCTCATCAATGGGGGGAAAATGTAATTAATTTCTTGAATTAAAAAGATACAACAATGGTTCAAACCAAGACTTACAGACAATGGAAACCATTTCAGCCCAAACTAGAGTAACAGTTTCGGTTACGTACTGCTATCAAGGTCTGGACTAAATTGTGGTACATGCTTAAACAGGGGCCAAGATCTTAATATCCTGGAAGATTTGAATTTTTGCACTAAAAATGGTTCAGTTCACATTTCTATGTTGACAGATTTTTAAACTTAAAAATAAATTAAAGTGAGATTATGCCTGAGTTTCCAAAAAAGTGAAGGGTCACATATCCCAAAATGACCTCTTCCCTCCTCCAACGTTCAGGGACATGGGAGCCCGTGATCAATCTGAATGCTAAACTTGTATATTTGTGCCCTAAAAGATCAGAATGGCTTTGGTATGCAGAAATCTATGGATATTTCCTAAAAGAGAGCCCTTTTAAACTTTACATGACAGTGCTTTCTGCTCCTATAAATGTTGTTTTCATTAAATGCTTCAGTTTCCCTGACTAACCGATAGAGGTGAGTACAATAACACATAGCCGTACCTTTGCAATGTCAGAGAGGATCTCGAAGTCAATCAGCAGCTCATGAACGTCTCTGTTGAAGACAACCAGCTCAGCTCTGTAGAGAGTGAAATTGCGGTTCGGATCCGGGGCTGAAATCATCGAGCCCTTCCCTGCTCCAAATAATCCATTGCACGCCAGTTCCACATACAGCTCCAAGCTGCAGATAGTATGCAAATATACCTGTCTGCAGTAAATGCAACTCTGGACAACTACAGGCATCACAATCATTGGCAGAAGCTAGTAGGTATGTCCATGGAACATCATTTACTAAATGAACAAATCACAGGTTGCAAACAAGCACAAAGTTCACCCTGCTATTACAAAATGCTCCAACGACTTTCCTTCCTCCTTCCCCTCGATAACCTGGTCATGATTAACAAAACGAATTTCCCAAATTCATAGGAGAAAATCACGACCAGCCTCTAACTGAGATTACATCTAACTCGTGCCAAGACTGGGACCAAAATTCACCCATAGTAGTAAAATTATACATGTTAAAAATGTACCCTACTCTGAGGTATTAAGATAACAAAAATTCTTCTCTACAGAATGCTTAAAGTATTAAGATAATGGTAATTTGTGTTTAACATCAAAAGGGGAAACAGAAGCCTTTTGCAGAGACAAGGACAGAGACAACAACAGGAAGACAGCAGAAAGACAGAGACAAAAAGACAGCATGGAAAAGAGTGAATGGAAAAGACAGTGTAACAGGCACACCAGAGGGACAGAAAAAGAGACAGTGAGAAAGAGAGACAGGCAGACAGACAGAGAACATAAGAGAATTCTCAGAAGCAAAATGAGAATTTGGAAGAACTCTAAGGGGAAATGTTTGTTAGTTATGGTATGTTCCAAGAGATAAACTCATTCATTCTGAAATACTCTTTACAAGAAAGGTTATGGAACCAATTGCAAGAGAATACAGAGTGGACAACAGCCTAAAATATGAAAATGTATGAAAGCTAACCTGTGAGGTTCTTCATCTGTGAGTTTCTCTGTCAGGACATAGCTGATCTTCTCCCCTTCTTTGGTCAGTCCCTGATGGCATAATTAATTTTAGATGATTAAACCATTACGTTTTAAAGAAATTCTTCTTACTTACTTGATATTTAGGCTTTAATAAAGATTCAATGCTCGAATTTGTAACTACGTAACTGTACCTGATATTATTCCTGTACCCTATCCTATACCATCCTTCCCCGATATCCAGATCCAAACAACCACCTGGTGTTACAGAACCTAAATGTTGCCGAAAAGACAGAGATGTTGCCAAAGCTTAGCAAAGCAAAGGAATATGTTCAAACCTTATGCCTCTTCTCAATTCTCTGGAAGTATGGGGAAGTTTATAGTTCCCTGTTATATTCTCCATGGCAACATCTTGGCCAAGCACAACGAGCTTGCCAACCAATCCCTTACACAGAAATTGCTGTGATCATTTGAAATTTGGCTCTCTTGTGTTTGGCCCATGCACAAGACAAAAAGTTTCAATAATGTGTTTCTCTCTTAAGCACCATTTGAGTATCCTGATCCAGCAGACATAAAGAAGGAACAACATTCTACTCTTGATTTCTATGCGCTAGCCACTTCTTCTGGTCATAATTTCAACCAAAACCATTAATTTGCTCTTTTCATACTTCCACAATTTCACTATTAATACTAAATACAGGAAGTCATATTGTTTGATACCGGGATAGTAATGAGTGAGTCTTTCCACATATGTTCAAATAGCTAGAATATCCACAAGTATCCAGAATGTTCTAGAAGGCAATAATGGCATTCTTGGCAAGACATACACCAGAGGAAATGGTGCACCGTGAAGTAGTGAGATTTACAAATGATTAAATATATTGAAATCTTTCTCCTGCATGCAGAGTTAGCACACAACAAAATGAAACACACAAACTAACAGGCCTTGACTTGCTCAACTCTGTGAATCACTTCTCTATAGAGTTCTCCCATCATTCTCATTTTGTTTCTGAAAATTCTCTTATCTTCTCTGTATGTCTGTCTCTCTCTCTCTCTCTCTCTCTGTATCTGATACTCTCTATCCCCTCTCTCTATATTTAGTACATATCCAGTTCTGAGGAAGGGTCACTGGACCCAAAATGTTAGCTCTGTTTTTTCCTTCACAGGTGCTGCCAGACCTGCTGAGCTTTTCCAGCAACTTTGTTTTTGTTCCTGATTTACAGCATCTGCAGTTCTTTCGGTTTTAACTCTCTATCCTCTCACTGCCTTCCATTCTGTCTCTCATTTTGGCTCGTTCTGCCTCTTTCCCTGTCATTGTCTTTGTCCCTCTCTCTGAATCACCCAATTCTCAATACCATAGGACATGCTCTGAGAAACTTATTACTCACATAGTGAGCCAACTTCCATCCATTCACTTTTGCCATTGGGCCCATGAACCAGAAATATATAGTTTAACCATGTGATTTTATATCACAAAATAGGGACACTTCATGCTTTACAAGATTCCTCTACTGGGTCAGTGTGTAATATATCAGCCACATCAAGGTAAGGGGAGGCGATGGCCTAGTGGTATTATCGCTAGACTGTTAATCCAGAGACCCAGATAACATTCTGGGGATGCAGGTTCAAATCCACCACAGCAGATGATGGAATTTGAATTCAATAAATAACTGGAATTAAGAATTTAATCATGAATGTGAATCCATTGTTGATATCATTAAAACCCATCTGGTTCACTAATGTCCTTTAGGGAAGGAAATTGCCATCCTTACCTGGTGTGGCTTACATGTGACTCCAGGCCCACAGCAATGTGGGTGAATTGTTAACTGCCCTCTGGTCAATAAATGCTGCCTAGCCAGCAACGCCCCCATCCCATGAATGAATATTTTTTTAGAAATCCAAACTAACTGCTTTTCTGATCAGTGAATAAAAACTGACCAATACACACCAACATTGGATACTTGATCTTCGTACTCATATCAAATATTGGGTGCATTTGAGACATAATCTTCTTGTGTGTTTGTTGGTAAAATTATTATTCAAAAAAAGTCTGTTTTTTTAATTGTTGTGAGTGCTTTAAGTCTATGATTACTCAACAATAGAAGATATTTGTTGAGTAAATATATCCGTGAGATTCATTTACATGTACTGAGTGCAAACAAGGAGAATTTTTTTATAGGATGTGAGGTATCTCTAGCAAGGTGAATACCTGTTGCCTATCCTAATGACCTTTCAGAAGATGGTAATGAGCCACTTTCTCGAACCGGTGCAGTCCATGTGGTGTAGGAACACCCCCAGTGTTGTCAGGAAGGAAATTCCATGATTCCATGAATGACAGTGAAGAGATGGTGAGATTGTTCCAACATGCTGTGTAGCTTGGGAGGAGGTATATTCCTGCATATTTGCTGCCCTTATCCTTGTAGACGGTAAAGGTCCCACTTTTGGAAGGCGTTGTTGAAGGAACCTTGGTGAGTTGCTGTAGTCCATCTTGTAAAGGTTACAGACTGCTGCCACTATGCACAGTTAGTGGATGGAGTGAATATTTAAGGCAGTCAGTGAGATGCTGGCCAAGCAGACCACTTGGTCCTGGAAGCTATCAAGCTTCTTGAATGCTGCTGGAACTCAGGCATCCAGGTAAGTGGAGACTTGAGGGAGTCATTAAAATTAATACACGTGACTAAAACAGTGTAATCAAAACTATAGCCATGCACAACAGCAAACATTAGACATTCCTGAGCTAAACAAGAGTTTTAATAAGGTGAGAGTGAATTTCTTAAAGAAAATTAAGACACTTTTAATTCAATACTCATTTATATTCTATATAAATTAGTACCAGACTCACCACACAAAATGCTGGGAATGCACAGCATCTGTGCAAGAAAAACAGTTAACATTTAATTAGTTTTCCCAGTTCTGGTGAAAGATCACAACCCGAAGCATTAATTGTTTCTCCTTCCATGAATGCTTCTGGAATGTTTGGGTTTTTTTCAGATTTCCATATTTAAGCTTCTACAGTATTTTGCTGTAGTCAATTTACCATACCTGTACTGGAATGCCATTTCTCCACACCATCGCTTCTCCATCGCTCTCCCACACAAAGTGCACTTCCTCACCTTTCCAAGCCTTTGGAATAGTCAGCATCACCCTGAACCAGGCCGTCCACCATCTACAGAAGAAAAGGTCAACTGTGACATTGAGGGAATTGGCATCATTTTAAATCTATGTACAAACTTCCCATTGTACAGAAGTAGCAGTTCCCCAGCACAAGAGAAAACATTTTTAATTTATAAAGATGAAATGAATGCAAACCAAATAAATAAAAGGAATAATTTGGGCGCAAGTAAACGAAACTGAACTGGACATCTACTTACTGGGTTTTCATTAACGCAAATTTTCAGTACAGAAAATTGTTTTAAAAATTAACTAAAAATTCCTCAAATCAAGCAGTTTACCTTCCCTTGTGTACTTACGTTGGTCCAAAGGAATCTCCAACCTTAGCAGGAATAAATTCTCGCGTCACAGCTTTCTCATACAGGATGCGCGAGGGTGCCAGAAAATAGGAAAGTGATTCAACAGGACAGCAAGCACCAAACAGCCTACAAGAAACAACGGGGGAGACCAGTACAAATTAATGCCACCCTCGGTATGCAAATCAAACAATATGATCATACTGTAGTGTGTCAAAAAAACAAACGCTAAACTGAATTATTACAATCCCGTTTCACAGAACACATACAGTGTATAATTATCACTGGACAGAGAGTTTGATCCTTTGAAGGAAGGTACCATAGACTGAGTAACCCAGAAGTCCTGGCTAATGCTACAAAAACATGAGTGCAAATCCCACCATGGCAGGTGGTGGAATTTAAACTCAATGAATAACTCTGGAATACAAAGCTTGCCTTAGCAATGGTGACCACATAACTATCATCAATTGTCATAAAAATCCAGTTGGCTCACTGATAACATCAGGGAAAGAAACCTGCCATCCTTACACAGCCTGACCCACATATGACTCCATATCCACAGCAAGATGTTTGTCTCTTAAATTCCCTCTCAAAGGGCTTAGCAAGCCACTCACTTATAAAAAAACCACAACAGAGAGAAAGAAAAAAAATCACTGTACGGGACACCTACACTGAATCGGCTGCAATGGTTCAAGAAGGCAATCTGTCATCACCTTCTTTAGGGCACTAGATGCTGGTGTTGACTGTGACGGTCACATCCCAAGAATAGCTTTACAAATAAATTGGACTTTTCCTTAGTGTTAGACAGGCAGGGTGTACTGGACAGGGAGTTCAACCCTTTCCTGAATTCACCAACAGAAAGATCACAGTACAGACAAACCACTTTGTTACTACAGTTTATTATAATCAATGGTGTCAAAAGAACTCAACCTCTTGAAGGGTATTTACTGTAAGTCTTCAAATAAAATGATGACCCAAGTACAAATAACCCTGTTTGGAAGGGTATTTATTGACAAGGTACATACAGAGCGCAGTTAGAGATTGTAGCTCTGGGCTATTGATTGTAGACAAAAGTGTGTATTCTCATTGTTACCATGAGCAAGGTTAGATTTATATAAATTTGGACTGTCATTTGAATTTACAGTGTGGTGCATTTGCAGGTACTGAATAGACAGAAAGAACACGTACATGCACTACACCTGTTTAAATGTTACAAAATAAATGTTGGCCATTCTCTGAGGACAATACCTTGACCAATCAGACCAACCTGCCTTGTTTCAAATTCAAACAAAGCTTGGCAGTTAGCAGTCTGTCATCATTAACTCGTGCACTCTCCATGGCAACACTTCTACCAATCAGAAGCCATTTGCCACATTCTCATACAGTACAAATGTTGTTGATTTCTATTGGGTATTTTTTGCAATTTGTCCTGATGTGTGGCATAGTGGCTCAGTGGTTAGCACAGCACCAGGGACGAGGGATCAATTCCATCGTCAGGCAACTGCGTGGAGTTTGCACATTCACCCCGTGTCAGCATGGGTTTCCTCCCACAGTCTAAAGATGTGCAGGTTGGGTGGATTGGCCATGCTAAATTGCCCCATAATGTCCAGGGATGTGTAGGTTAGGTGGATTAGCCATGGGAGATGCAGGGTTATAGGATAGGGGTGTGAGTCTGAATGGGATGCTCGTTGGAGGATCAGTGTAGATTCAACAGGCTGAATGGCCTGCTTCCACACTGTAGGGATTCTATGAGTGCAAGATGAAAAGCTTTGATAAAATGTGTCTTTTTTCAGCAACACTCAAGGGTGTTAGATATTGAATAGAATAGTAATTTATTGTCACGTAATTTCTACAAAATAAAATACAGTGAAGTATTTGAGTTGCCATACCATGGTACCTATATTAATAACTGAAGGTACAGGTAAGAAAAAAAATTAAAAACTATCAACAACAACCGAGGTGATGAGTTCTAAAAGGTCACAAACCTGAAATGCTAAGTTCGCCTCTCTCCATATGCCTGACCTGCTGAGATTTACTATCTTTGTTTCAGACTTCTAACATCTAAAGGAATGAAGGACTTGTATTATTGATAGCCCCCTTAATAATCTTTTATGTCAGAGTTTACGTAAGTTGATGATTGCAGTGTCGGATGGGCAAAGTGGGTTAGGGAGAGGTGCAGGAGGATGATGGAGCAGGTGGCAGCATGTTGTCTGAGGTTGGAATATTGCTGTTAATTGTGGGAAGGAACTGAGGATGTAATGTGAGTTGTTTGGTAGTGTGGTTTGGAATTTGAAAGAAGTGCTTGGTAGTTATGTCTGTGTGTTATAGTTGGCGATGAGCTGAGGGTGGCTGTTTGAGGAAGGACTCAGTGGGTGTGTGAATGGTCTGTTTTATGATATGAGAGTTGAGGGCTGGTGAGTTGTGGTGTGCTAAGGCTACAGTTACCAGGGGAGGGCAGCAGTTAGAGATATGTAGGATGTTACTGAGTGTTTAGGGTTGAGAGGAAGGGGGTGGTGTGTGCATGTTTTGCAGTTGGTGATAGTGAGAAGAGCATA